CTGGAAAGGTGAGAGCTGAGGACGGTTTACGTAATTAGTGGGACGTGGAAGATGTATTCATCCTCATAATATTGTAAATATAATATCGTGACGCGACCTAAACACATAGCCAACACGGCTGCATGCTACAACGGCGTAATGGAAAACATAATGAAAACGAAAAGTGTTTTTACTCTTATTAGTTATTCGTTGGATGATGGTACTTTGCCAGTTAAAGTGTTTTATTTATCATACTGACGGCTTTTCGTTTGGCATAATGAACTGTCAAATATGTGATGACACGGTGTTTATGTATGCTGGTCTAGTCTGCGAGCATTTCATTATGTATGCTTTGTGCGTAACCCTTCTCGCGTGACCCTCAAGCAGTGGCGTATGGCTGACGATATGTGTCTGTTCACACCCAGGTGCCTCCCCCGCGCCCGGCACCGCCCAAAAACGTGCCTGCCCGGCCGCCGCCGCCGTCGTTCGCGGCCAAGCAGCAGGAGCAGTCGGCGACGCCGGCGACGGGCGGCTCCGGCGGCGTGGGGTTCGCTGACTTTGCCAACTTCGATCAGGTGAGACTGCCGCGAGCCGGCGCCCTGTCGCCGTGGGTACAGACACCGGGACAGCGGGGGGGGGGGGGTCAGGAGGGCTACTGTCAGAACTGGGGTCTCTCGTCTGTAACTAGACTGTCAAAACTGAAATCCCTCGCTTGTAACTGGATTGTCGGAACTGGAATCCCTCCGTTATTGCTGGACTGTCAGAACTGAAATCCCTCGCCTAGAACTGGATTGTCAGCAGTGTAATTATTTGCTGATAACTGGACTGTCATACCCGGGATCCCTCACTTATAGTTACACTGTGCGAACTTGATCCATCGCTTTCACTGAGCTAGGTACTCTGTTGTATCATCTGTAATCCCCCGATAACTGAAATGGAAGGTTGAGGAATACCAGAATGTTTCTGATTGTGTCATCATTCTGTCTTGTGCCCTTTAAACATTCATGTAGCTGTGATATGTCTCAGACCCTGCTAGCACAATAGTGGTGAGGGTAAACCTGCTGCTAACCCACAGCTATCCAAGCTAACATATTGTTCGTATGAGTGTGGTGCCGGCCCCTGTGCTGTCTCGTATGGAGCTCTGACCGATCTGAGAGAGAGTTGCCGCGCGCGACTAACCCCGCCGGCCGGTCGTTGCAGTGACGTGCTTCTCACGCCCTAGGAGGCGACATTGTCTGTCGCTGTAGGTATGGAACTCACCGACGTCAGCCTACCGTTTTGTCAATGGATGTGTTTTGTGAGCATGCGCCAGTTAGCCCGTAACAGCCCGGACATCGCACATAGACCAGACTGATGAAAGAAAGCACTGTCTCTTGATTGTGTCGCGTTTTTCTTTGGTATGAATCGCACTTTGACCTGCCCCAAGGACGTTATACATCCTGCGAGCCGCAGCAATGTATACGACCTCTCTTCCAGCATCCCAAAAAGTGATGATTGGTATCAACTTACGGTTGGTGTGTATCCGTTTATCCTCGTTATTAATTTGTAGTAAAAGCGTTAGCGTTTCATTTTGACCCTCGACATCACCTTTGGCGTCGAAGCAAGTAGCACCACTTTTTGTCGTTTATATTTTTGTGGTTTGTACGCTGAACGCATGTAAATGTTGAACATAGTAGCTTTTCGTACCATCGTCATGTACGAACTGCTATTGTTGCTCTGTCGGAATTACTTTCCTTTGATATTTAAGGCATGCTGAAGTTGCAGTCCTGCGTTCAAATGGCACACAATTCCATCTTTGATCATGATGACTGAACTGTGTTTCACCCACAACAGCTAACTTTATTCCGAAATGTTATTCCTTGCGTAGTCTGGTTCTTACTTCGTTATGGTGACTCATTAGTCATTGACAACTGTGGACCAATTGTCTTTTCGTCACATTGGTCGTCGATATCTTCACTTACGGTGTGTCAGCTAAGGTTGAAATGCAAAGCAGTGAATGTTCCCCTGAACCACTGTCTGGGCTAATTTGTTGAGATGAATCTTGGTTGATATTAGTAACAAGCCTGTATCGCCCCTGCCCTTGTGTACCCTCCCCCCCCCCCCGATCACCCCACCTGTCTGACGGACCGCCTCTGGCGCCGTTTCAGTTCACCAGCGGCGGCGCGGCCACCGCTGACGACGTGTGGGCTTCCCCGTCGACCGAGTCGGCGCGGCCGCCGACCGTCGCCGACCCGTTCTCGGCGCATGACCCGTTCGCCGGCGCGGATCCGTTCGCCGCGTCCGAGACCGACCGCGGCGACCCGTTCGCCTCCGTCGACCCGGACTCGGACCCGTTCGCGTCGCCGACCGGCGCCGGCGCAGACCCGTTCGCCGGGAGCGACCCCTTCTCGGGCGGTGATCCGTTCGGTTCGTCAGACCCGTTTGCGGGCTCTGATGGCCGAGATTCGGGCTTCGTCACCCAGTCGTCTACCATGGAGTTCTCCCGGCTGACGCTGGGCGGTGACGGCGGCGGACGGGCGGCGCACGACCCGTTTGACCCGCTGCCCTCCCGTGGCGGCGGCGGTGGGTTCGGCCAGTCCCGCTCCTACGCGCCCTCCCCGGTGGTGGGAGCGGCAGCGGCGGCGGCGGCCGGCCGCTCGGCCTCGGCTCGCGCCACGCCGGCGAGTGAGCTGGAGAGGAAGGCCGCCCGCAGCCCGAGCACGGTATTGTAGCTGCCGGTGACGGGGAGCGGCGGAGCTGCCGGCCGTGCTGATTGTCCACCGCTGGAGCCGACCGACCCGGCCGCCGTGCGGTCCGGAGCCGGCGCTCTCAGCGGTGTCACCCCGCCCGAGCCAGGCGCGGCCCGATCACAGGACACAGCAGGCCTCACACGCCGCTTCTCACCCGGCTTTGACTGGTGGTCGGTGTAACAATAATAAGCCGAAAGGCGCTCACCCGGCTAGTGTAGGTGCGGCGGGCGGTGCGCCGCCCCGCGGCCGCTGCCTGTGGTGGGCAGTGGCCGGCGGGTGCCAGGCCTGTCCCGCGGACCCAGCGCGTGCCGCCGCGGGCCGCGTCCGCCGGCGCGTAGCTGCAGTGTCTGTATGTGTGTGTGTGTGCAGTGAACTAGCTGGAGACGTGTTCGTACTGCGTGCGAGCCGAGTAGCTACTGGTACTGCCCTCCTGTATCCTCTGTCTGTCACAGTTAGTCTCTCTCCGCTCCTCTCTCCGTGTTCCTCTCAGCTCCCACACTCTCTCCCCCTCTCTCTGTCGTCTGCGATCTAGGTGTTTCGCCTCTGTCCTGTGTCAGGCGCCAGCGTACTTCGTGACATAGCGGTGGGAGTGGCGAGGGCGACCGTAGCGCACACAGCCAGGCGGTATTGGCCGGATATTAGCGTGTATCATCAGTTGGTTGACCAGACAGTGAGTTGTGACTTAAAGACGTTGTGAATAGCTCGAGCTGTTTGGAACCTGGTTTCTGTGTTATTTCAAGTGTAAGCTCTCCCCTCAATGCTCGGTTATTCAATCAGAAGCGGCTAATGTATGTGTTTACTAGGCGCCGGTACAGAGCCTGCAGGTTTTGCATTTTATCGTTTATGTCGAGGGATTCGAGAAGGGTAATTACGGGACTCGCCTCGCCCCGAAGTGCCCCGTGGCGCTGAGCTGATGCTAGCCCCGGCTCACAGTGACCACTCGCCGCGTCGGTGGCTGCCGAGGTAGCCCGTTTTGTAAGCGATCATAATAATTGTCCCTGCCCGAGTGTAGTTGTGACTGACCGGCATTTTATTTATACATTGTTTCCGAGTCATCCGCCAGAGCGCTGTGTAACGGGATCTAGCAGCAGCCGCCCGGAATAGACAGAATCCATAATGGTTTGCATTTGGTAGTGTAATTGGCCAAATTGAAAATCATCTAAATCCAAGTAAGGACGTCTACGTCTAGCCGGGCTGCTGCGGCTTGGGTCAGCGCAAAGCCCGGCGGTACCTCGGCCGGCCATCCCACACCGCTGCAATCAGTGGCGCGGCGCGGTCCGCCCCCACCAGCTCCCCTCGATCATTTGCCGCGTGCGCTCCGAGCTCTAGGTGTCAGTTCCCTCTCCACCGGCGTCCGCCAGCCATTCCACGAGTAGAGCGGAGCCGCGGTCCGATCCGCCGCGGCCGCGGACTTATACATACAGATATACCTGTCTGGTGCGGAGTTAATGGTTATTCGTATTGTGTAAATATATATCAGTCATCGTCAGCAGTGTCTCGTGTGCTGTGGGTTTTCGAAGTAAACGCGAAGGTTGGCAGTTTTATCGTCGCTATAACTGCAGTTGACGCCTCGCGTTCGCAGCCACTTCTCTTGCTCTCCGAACCATGAAAAGACAGCAACACTTTTCTTGGCTGTATTTGTCTTTTATCACAGCATTGTTCTCTCACTCAGACAATGAACTGACCTCATGAGCGGAGAATGCTTTCTGACGCAACATTCAGAAAAGGTCACACCAGGCTCACCTAACGGGATACACCGATCAGTCAGCTCTAAGGAGCAGGGCGTCACAATTGACAGGAAGCCGACGTGGTTCAAACACCCGAGACGATCCAGAGTATAGGTCACCTGATCACGGCTCAGTCCAATCCGACCGAGACGCTGTAGATGGTGTGGCATCGAGGGAATGCTCAGCGCTATGACTGGTGTGTGCCAGGACGACAGGTGGTCGGTGGATGAAAGGATGATGGTAATTGAAGCATGAGTTGGAGAGATGTTTCATAACTGAACAAGGCAAACTTATTGTAAGATTGTGCAGTAACAAAAGCAAAACGTGGTTGAACAGTGAAAAGTGTATACAAAAAGGTGAAAGCTAAGAAGGAACGACTCATAAGTGACGTGAGCAAATCCGTACTGCATAACCGCGATAAGAGTTAAAATTGGATTTTTCTTAGAACAATTTGACTCATCGCCGCTCAATTTCGGTCGATTTTGTCATTTTCAATCCCATCTGAAGCATTAAAATCACGTATCTTTCATGAGCATCTGAGCCAGATAGACAACAAAAAGAAGAATTTTTCATACATTGAATATATTCTCATTTTTTGAAACGTTGACGTCATATGGTTATTTGGAAATACAACAAAACTGAGCGGCTCTGGAACAAACACCATTCAATAACACTCAGTCCTAGGATAAGCAGCGACAATGGTTCACATCTTCAAACGCACAACACGGCGCCAGCACACTGGCACGAAGGCACCCATGTCACATTTGCGAGCCCCGCGGCGCCGCGAGGTTTTGGCTTGAACGAGCGCCCCGGCGCGTTTCCCTGAGCACCAGCCGACACTGAGCAAATGACGCCACCGCAGAACGACTGGCCGACGCAGCAGCAAAGCTCGTATTTTACCCTTTGGGCTGGAGGCGTTTGACGCGGACGGTTCAGCCGTCGCAGCCACGCATTACCAGCTGCTCGATTTGTGACGGTAATTGCCCGCGGCATGTAGGCCGGCGATTGGTCCTCTGTGCCAGTGACGTCAATAGTTTATCCACCGCCGCCGGCCACGTCCTTCCGTGACGTCACTAGCCACAGCCGGTCGGGAGCGCTGACGGTACGCCGCGCTTCGTCACCGCGGAGAATCTGGGCCGGTGCTGACGAGACGCCTCCGTTTCGGATGACGACCCTTTGTGACTTCCTCGCTCAGTCGTTCATCCGTGGCGTCCGGCCGGTCTCGGAGTTGGTCCGATGACGTCACAGGTCTCCCGGCTACACCATCACTCTCTCACGCTCTACCGCCTGAACACACACGCACTGAGCCAGCCGCCATACCTTACCTGTGCTCGTGGTGGTGACGTGTCGAGCCGTGCGGGTAGGAGGGCCTGTAAACGGCGGCACAGGTCACCGACAGGTCACGGTGTCACCGCGAGCGTACCACAGCGGGTGGAGGGTGTCTATACCGCCGCCACAGGACAGGGCAGTGAACAAATGAAGGGGTGAGATGTATGATACAATCAGTGTATCAGCGACAGAGTGATGAAAGACACACAACATGCATTAACACGAAGATACACACAGTTAACAACTCAAAAAACTTGAGATGTGAACATATCGAAATTAATTTAGTGGTTATAGAAGTCGACAGTTGCTAAACCGAAAACTAAAAAGAAGCACTACGTAGAAAGTTACAAGATTTAACGTTCCGGTCCTCGGCGTAATTCAAGACACGCAGTTGATGCGCACGGGAAGGATTAAGGCGGTCGAGATTTAGCGACGAGCGATACATGATTGCCCTTATAAAATATTTTCCTTTCATTTTCCCCTAATTAAAATAAGTCAAATATCGCAAAATGTACTTTTAAATGATCCGAAACATGACACCAGTGCCTAGCTAAGCTAAGCATGCATGCCCCAGTAAAATATGAGTGAAGTTAACTGCCCCTTTCGGTTCGAATTCCGGTTCAAAGATTAACATGTGGAGCATCCTTAGCTCAAGTAAAAGAAAACCGTCGTCCATGTTAATATTTTGTCGGCAAAGGCTCCCACAACCAGTGCGCGTGTAGGCAGTGACCACTATGTCGCCTTGCGTGGGTCGGCGCGGAGTCCGGCCTCCGAGGAGTCCCGGTCGCGGCAGACCGAGCCGCGTCGCGTCCAGAGTCCAGTGGCCGACCTCACAGCCCGCGCTGACAACTCGCGCTGACGGCCAGCGCTGACAGCAGGCGCTGACGGGGCACCCGGCCGACCCGTCCGCTGACCGGCGAGTCAGCTCTGTAACAGGCCAGCCACGGCGACCGCCGCCCGCCCGTCAGCCCGCCCCGCGCCCGGCACTGATACCCACAGCGATTGTACCCCACCGTCCGGCACTCACCGCCCGCCCCGCACAGATACATCCGCCCGGCACTGCCCTCACTGTCCCTGTACCTGAGGGAGGTGACTGCCCGGGAGGGCGTGAAAATAATGTCCCATCTGGTTCGATAAGTATCAAAACAAACCCATTAGACCCGAAGCCCGCATTCTCTACTAAACCCTTTGATTGGGTCGGACCCAGCTATTATACCATCCTACCTCCCCGCGTCAGTCCCGCTCGGGCGCACCCCTCCCCCGCCCTCCCCCTCCCCCGCCGAGGTGCCCTCTCGGGCCGTTCCGCCGGCGGTGCGCCGCGTCGTCCCGGTCCGCCGGACAGTGAGCAGTACCCGGCCGATGTCTGGTGCCGCCACTCGCGCTCCGAGCCCAGGTGCTGGTAGGGGCAGCGGCGGGCGTTACAGCGCCCCAGCAGGTCGTGTTTGCAGACCACCAGGTGCGGGTTCAGTCGTCTGGGGGAAGAGAACGGCAGCCGCCGGGCAGCGCGGGTACGCACGGTCACCGGTCACACGCACCGACACGCACTGATGACGGCCCGTGAACACAGACACGCACCGTAGCACAGCGTCGCAGTCCTACACAGGGAAAACAGTCAGCACACGCTCTAGCGAGAAAGCAAACGCGGTAAACATGCCTTACACATACGCCAACGATAGAAGCGAAAATTGCTCCTACCCACCATAAACAAGTTTCTCTCCACTTACAGAACAGTGTGTATGGTTCATTTAGGGCTGATTACAACAAGAGGGGAAGCAAGAGGGATTACAACAAGAGGGGAATACGTTCAAAAACATTGCTTCCTCAACAGACGCCAGTTTAGACAGACGCCTCAAATAGACGCCAAAAACGCCACTCCCTCAAACCATTCCTTTATTATGTCAGCCCACTCACCCGATGCTGGCTGGGGCAGGCGGCTGCAGCGGCGACTCGTAGGGCCTGTAGCGGGCCGCGGCGCGCGGCGTCACGTCGTCGCTGGCCGTCTCGCGGAGCAGCGCGCTGAACTCGGCCAGCACGGGCGGCCACTGCAGGCCACTGACGTCCGTCGGCGGCACCGTCTGCGCCGGGGGCGGCGGCGGCGGCTCGGCGGCCGGCGCGCCCGTCAGCGGCCCGGCGAACCGCTCCGGCCGCCGGCTGCGGCGCCCCAGCTCCTCTGGTCGGTCGGCGTCCGTGGGCCGCCGCTCCGGCCGCTGCACCACCGAGTGGAGCCCGTGAGGCGGCTCCGGTGGCGGCGGGGGGCTGCGCCGCCACACTCTGCTCCGCGACCGACCACGTCGACTGGATGCCGGCGAGGACGGAGAACCCGGCTGCGGCTTTTTGGCCGCGGATGAGCGAGTGTTCCTCGCGGGGGACGGGGGATTCTTCTTGGCTGGAGAATCGGGCGTCTTGATTGGAGAGTGGGTGATTGTTTTGGTCAGGGATTGCGGCGTTTTCTTGGCAGGAGACGGGGGCGTCTTTCTGACCGGAGATTGGGGCGTCTTCTTGGCAGGAGACGGGGGCGCCTTCCTGACCGGAGACTGGGGCGTTTTCTTGACCGGAGACTGGGGAGTTTTCTTTGCGGATTTCTGAGCACGTGATCGTTTGGGTCTGATCGGCACAGAGTCGGATTCTGGCGACTGTTCAATGTTTAACACCGGGAATATCGGCTTCACCATAGTGACTGTGGGTGTAATCTGAGCCACAGCAGTCTCTGAGCACACGACAGGCTGGGCTACGGCCGTGGCTGGGGCCAGGGGCGGTTTACGCGGCTCGGCTACAGTCGCCGGCCGGTCAGCAGATTCCACGCCAGTGTCTATCGTAGCGTCGCGCCGCTCCGTCTCTAATATCGCCGAGACATTCTCTGACGGAGCCCCGTCCCCGGCAGCGGTCTGCCGTGGGACCGGGCGCGTATCCCCACTGTCCTCCGTCCTCTCAGTGTCCTCGAGTTCCTCAGCATCCTCCTCCTCATCTGAGGACTCGGCCAGCCCCTGGACGGGCAGCTGGTACTCTTCTCCGAACAGGGCGCCGCCCATGCGCGAGCAGGCGTTCTCCAGCTCGCGGCGCTGTTGCCGGGCCGGCAGCAGGCGCTCGGTGGCTACCAGCCGCAGCTGCTGCGACAGACGGTCGCACAGCGAGGTGCGCTCGGCCAGGCGGCGCTCGGCGGCAGCCAGCTCGGCCCGCAGACGGGCCACGGCCATGCCGGCCTCGGCGGCGGCCGTGCGCTCGGCGCGCAGCTTGGACTGCAGCGCGGCTGACAGCTGGGTCTCCTCCTGCAGTGTGGCTCTGCGGGACAGGCACACACACACGGACGGCTCCACAGGCAGCACTGGTACACGGGCCGCCTTATCCCGAAACGGGAGACGCAACTGGCTTCTATTAAAACAAGTAACAGAACTTGCAATGAATACAACGAAAATTTAACAGAGTTAGGTTCTTGCACACAAGTAAATGAGTTTTGCCGAACACATGTAAGAAATGCTTGGAATTGTCAGAATTTGAAACGGACTTAACCCACGTAAAACAAGGATAGCACATAAAGGTAGCATTAATGCTGAACTTAAGCCTGAGCTTTAACATTTGAGCCTGAACTTAAACATTAAAACAAAAGCTTACGCGACACAAAGTCCGTGTCAATTTTTACTCACCTAACGTCTCGCAGTTTCCTCTCCGACGTCTTCAGCTGCTGCACCATCAGGATGCGCTTCATCCTATCCAGCTCGGCGTCAGAGAGTGCCGGGGACGGCTGCTCATGCCCGGGCTGCTGGTCCTCCTCTTCCTCCCCACCATCCTCCTCCTCTTCCTGCCCTCTGTCCTCGTCCTCCTCATAGTGAATGGAGCAGGCGGCCGGCTGACCGACCATCGGTCTCGTCACCTGTAATGTGATGCTCAGGGGCGGCAGTCGGCTCAAATCTGGGGGAATGTGATCTGGAGAACCTCCATCCTCCACTTCCTCTTCTTCCTCCTCCACTTCCACATCCTCCCACATCTCGCCCACCTCCTGGAGAACCTCTTCGGCGTCCAACTCGTCGTCTGAAGTGGTCTCCATGGGTGCGTCACTGACGCCGGTGATGACGGGAGGCATGGTGTCTGGCAGAGCCTCCTTTGTCGATTCAGCCACAACCGGCTCGGGGACAGGCCGGGACATGGCCGAGTCCTGACTGGTAGGATGTACCACATCCTCTCCGGACTTAGATGAATCGTGCGCCGGAACTGGGTCTTCAGTAGTTTTCTCGGTTATATCCGCTGGCGCTGTGCTGACCCCGTGTGGCTCGTGAGAGTCCACCGACTGGCGAACTGATGTCCCTCTCTCCGCTGGGGAGAGCCGCTGCAGCCGGACAGAGCAGGGCGACGCACCGTACCGAGCCCGCAGTGCCTCGTCACTGAGAGTTACCCGTACAGGAGTGCCAGGACACGGCTCAGAGGCGGGCGCCGGGACGGCAGGCGCGCAGCTGAGGGACGCAGATGTTACAGCTTCTCCTTCCGAGCATGTAACGTCGGGAGGATTTGGAACAGTCTCCGCAGGTGAAGGCTTATCGGTGGTGACCGTTGGAGCTACCATTGTCTTGTCGGCGGCGGCAGGCGGGCTAGACAAGGTAACGCTCTCTGCTGGAGCTGTACCGTTCCCATCGAGCGCAGGGCTTTCTTCACCAGTAACCGAACTCTCTTGATCAGGCAGCTCGGCTCCAAATAAGCGCCGGACCCCAGGAGGAGTGACCAGGCCAGTCAGAACCTTGCGGAAATACGTGTCACGCTCCAGTCGTACGCCCAACACTGGTGCCGACAGCTTCTCCACGTCAGGAGAAGCAAACACAAACTTTTCAAACAGACTCGACTGTGAGGTGCCCGATTCCGTCGCCACTTGTCCTGAAGTGCCGTCACCGGACATCGCGGTTCCCGTTACCGATGAATCACTTGCCTTCTTCTCAGCGCCAGTCTTCGCCGCTGTCTCCGACCTCTGGTCTGGTGGATGCTGGGCGTCCCGCTGGTCTCCTGCCGTATCACTGGCAGGATCGCTGACACCAACTTCCTTTCGCTGAATCACAGGTCCAGGAGCCCGAGCATCTTGCTTCGCTGGTGGCTTCGATGAGACACTATCGGCAGCAGCGACAGGTTCGGGAGCCACTGCGGCCGGTTCAGAAGCGGGCGCCCGCCCAGCGGCAGGCCGCTTGTCATGCGTCGCAGCGGCACCGCCAGCCTTAGAGCCGGCGCCAGAGGCGGCCGCGCCGGCAATCTCTCCAGCGCCTGCCGTCGGCCGCGGCTGGAGCGCCACTTGGCGAGGGGTGAATGCGGTCGGTTTGAGCGATGGCTGCGGAGGTGCCGGGGCAGCGACGGCGGGGCGCACGACCGACACACCCCAGCGAATGGGGGCGAACAACGACTGGAAGGCGGGAGCGGCGGCCTTGTCCACTGCCACATCTGTGCTAGATTTCTCTGCCGTAGCGATGGACGAAACAGGCACTGCTCGCGGCGTAGCATCAGATTTACTGGCGTCTGAGCCGGGCTCAACAGCCGCCAATACAGGAACTGCAGAGGCCGGGTCCGATTTCGCCATACGTCCATCAGACTGCCGAGAAACAGTTTTTGTCTCCGAAGAGCCCGTTGCTGGTTGTGTAGCTTTTGGGGCAGCTGGTTTTGCCTGGGCTGCAACCGATTTGGGCGCACCTGGTTTGGGCGCAGCTGGTTTGGGCGCAGCTGGTTTGGGCGCAGCAGGTTTGGGTTCAACTGGTTTAGGCACAGCAGGTTTGGGTTCAACTGGTGTTGGATCAATTGGTTTGGGCTCAACTGGTTTGGGTTCAGCTGTTTTAGGCACAGCAGGTTTGGGTTCAGCATGTTTGGGTTCAGCTGGTTTGGGCTCAACTGGTTTGGGCTCAACCGGTTTGGGTTCAGCTGGTTTGGGTGAAGAGGGTTTGGGTTGAGTTGGTTTGGGTTCAGCTGGTTTGGGTTCAGCTGGTTTGAGTTCAGCTGGTTTGGACGCAGCAGGTTTGGATTCAGCAGCTTTGGGTTCAGCAGGTTTGGGTTCAGCTGGTTTGGACGCAGCAGGTTTGGGTTCAGCTGGTTTGGGTGCGGAAGCTTTGAGCACTGGGGCAGCCGCCTTGGACTGCGTTTCAGCCGGCTTTGGTTTGGCTGCGGTCGCTGTGGGCTGCGCAGAAGCCGGTGTGGGTTGTGAGGAGCTCGGTTTCGGCTTCACTGCTACTCGTACTGACGTTGACTGCACAGCAGTCGGTTTGGCCTGCGCTGTGGTCTCCCTGGGTTTCACGGGAGACGGCGGAGGCTGCGGAGAAGCAGGCTTTGACGGTACCGCAGCCAGCGCGACCTGTGACGCAGTCGATTTAAGCTGCACCGCCACACGCTTCGGTTGCACCGGGGCAGCTTTGGACTGCCCTGGGACGGACTTGACCAGCGGCTGGGCTGGTTTGGGCACCAGCGCTGTCGACTGCTGGGCAGCGGCCGGCTGGCGGGCTTTCCTCTCCGCCAGCTTCTGTTGCTCCTTCGCCCGGATGATTTCCTTTAGACGCATGTATTCGTCCAGTCGGTCCTTCGGCAGCAGCTTGGCTAGATCCTGAAATCGCGTGTATATTCTGAAGTTTTCTAGTCAAAAGTTTGGTAAATTACGCTCTGTTCCCTGGCCAATCGAAATCGGTTATTGGCGCACCCAGATGTGTACTTTTGAAATGTTGACTACAGAGTGACGAGCGCAGCCCCTTTTGACGCGACGTTACTGGAAGTTTATTAATAGGTTAACGCTCAAAAACATAAAAACTTAAATTTATACGATCACACTTATTTCAACGCATCACAAGCTACATAAAAATGAGAATTAATTATGTCAATGATGGTACAAGAAAGGCACCAAGTTGAGGGACCCGCAAACGGGCTACACCGGAACAAACACCTCCCACCCACAGGACGCCGAGTAGCCCGTCCCTCCCTCTCACCTGGGGCGTTCCCTTCGCCGGGGCCCTCTGCGTCTTCTGCTGAGGGGTCTGCGGCGGCTGCGGCCCCGCCTGCTGGCTCTGCGCCGGTGCCGCCGCCGGCTGCGGTGTCTGTGACGGCGACGGGCGGCCTGACGTGGACGCCGACCGGGACACCTGACCGCTCTGCTCCCGCGCCTGGCGCAGGAACTGGTCCAACTGACCGAGAAAGTCGCTGCCGCCGCCAGCCGCCGCCGAGCCCTCGCCGTCCGAGCCGCCCAGGTCTGAATCGTCAGAGTCCGACTGGAGGTTAATGATGAACCGCTTGGTGGCCGGCGGGGGCTCCGGAGGTTTGACCTGCTGCGCCGCCGCCGCCGCTCGCCGGACCTTCTCCGCCGCCAGCCGCCGAGCGCGCAGCGCTGCCACTCTCTTCTGATTGGCCGCAGTCGTTGCCCGGGTCGTCGCCGGTGCGGGTGCCGCCGCGGGTGGAGGAGCGGGAGCAGATGTAGGAGCGGTGGGTACCCTGCGCTCCGGGCGGGTCGCCGCCATGGAGATGAGCAGTTGTGCCCGGAGTACGTCCTCGTCCTCGTCTTCCTCTGCGGTGGCCGACAGCTGCCGAGAACGCTGCCGGACGGGCTGGGGCCGGTCTAAAGTCTCCTGCGCCGCCGGAGTAGGCTGGGGGACGGTCGGAGCCGCCGCCGGAGGATCGGGCGGAGCATCAGAGGACGGATGAGGCGGCGACGGAGGAGGGGGTGGGGGAGGAGCGGTGAGAGAGGGTGGGGGAGGAGCAGTGAGGGGGTGCGGGTCCGGCGGCGGCGGAGGGGGAGGAGCGGTCAGGACACACAGCGGGTCAGAGGGGGAGAGGGGAGGTAGGGGCGGCGGCGGCGGGGGCAGCGGATGCTGGGGCGGGGGCGGAGGCGGCGGCGGCGGTATCGGGGGAGGCGGAGGGGGCGGTGGGAAGGTCGGAGGCGGCGGGTCCGGTGGCAGCGGTGGCGGAGAGGTGGGCGGAGTTCGCGACACGCGGCGCTTTTTAGAGCTCTCTGCTGCGCTCATCTTGCGGTTGCCGGTCACGCGAGGTGCACTGACCGCCTTCATGAAAGCTTGGAACTGCTCAGCATATGATGATTTGGTAAAGACTTCAGACATGGCAGACACAGCACGCTTCGGTGGAGATCCTACAAAATACTTCAACGGATCCTTCTCAAACACATTCTTATCAAAGTCTTTTCGTTTCGACAGTTGCTTTTCGATCTCCTGGAACATACGATCTGATATTTTCTGTCGTCGTTTCACCATGGAGAGCTTCGAGGACGATTCTTGCGCGTCTTGTTTCCGTCCCTTCCTTGTCTTGGCTCTCAACTGTCCCGGACTCAACTCTCGCCTCCCACTGGCGGCACTCGCCCTGCGCCGTCTCGTTGCTCTCCCTTTGGGAGACTTCGCTGCCTGTTCTGCGCTCTCTGAGGACGCCCGAGACACCTCGTCAGTCACCTCAGAGGACTCCGAGTGACCCTGCTCCTCGGTGGCGTCGCCCGCCTCCTTCTCCATTTTGGCCTCTTCCTCAGTGAAACGGTCAAACACGCTCCTTAGCGCCATCAGCCGCAGCTCCAGTTCCGTCTCGTCTGGACCGTCATCTTCCTCCTCTTCTTCAACACCTTCTTCTTCATCGCCTTCCACAGTCATTTCTCCCTCCTTCTCAGGTATGACTTCTTGCACTTCCGCTGGCTTTTCTACTTCCGCTGGCTTTTCTACTTCTGCTGTCTCTATTCCTTCAACAGGCGCTTCCGCCTGTACCGACTCCGCTGATACATCTCCCTCTGGCTTGACTTCTTCGGTCGGAGCTTCCTCAACAGCATTGACAGCCGCCAAAAAGGCCACATCTCGCTTATCTTCCACTATGGACACCTCGCTGGTCTCCGGCTCTGTCGGCGGTTCGGGCGGCTGTGGAGGCGAATCCTCTTCGTCCAATACGATTAGCGGCGGCGACGGTTTTCTTGGCGGCTCCAGCTCGACGATCTCCGGCTCTGGGTCCGGCTCCGGCTCGGCCGTCTCGCCCGGCGGCGGCCCTGCCGGCAGAGGTATCTCCAGCTTTGGCTCCGGAGGTGGTGGTGGCGGCGGCGGCGGTGGAGGCGGTGCCGGCGGCGGCGGCGAGGCCTGTTTTTGGCGCGCTCGCAGGCACAGCTCGCCTAGACTACGCGGCGGCGGCGGCTCTGGCGATTCGACGGGCCTGCGCCGTTTGGGCGGCGGCGAGGCGCGCGGTGGCGAGCGCGGCCGGCGGGCCGAGCGGCGCGGGGAGCGGTGCGGCGAGCGGCGCGCGCGCGAGTGTCGGTGATGTGCTGACGGCCGGTGGCGCTGACTGTGGCGGCAGCGACGGCCGCCGTCCGATCCAGAGTCACTCGAGCTGTCCTTGCCTGCCAGGACACACAGTAGGAGCGGTCTGCTACTTGCGTCTGATGACCAAAGCCGCTAATTGTGGCCGTTGGGTGAGCCTTGAGCAGTGCTCAAGATACGGCACAGACGCTATGTTTATTTCAATAAATCACATAAAACATGGTTTAATGTGAGGTTCAGCCGCGAATCACACAGAACGGGGACAACATTAACCCAATACGCGCGGGGTGCGAACGTAATACTGTCTGTAATTAGCGATAACTTCCACGTCGCAATGACCCCAAACGCAGTGTGTAGATGCGTTTTATGCTCTCCGGAAAAAGCGTGCACATTCAATACATAGATGGGTTGAAAACGTTTTGTACCGTAATAAACTCAAAATTAAGAAGTTATCTAGTAAAAAGCGCCGACGTTGTTCATTACTTGCCGAATTTATCGTCTTTTCATAACAAAATTGACGCGTCAATTTTAACAAGCGGACATCCATCGAAATTGAATTTGCCGAAAGGTTTCACTTATCACTCGCAGCTTGTACTTATCATCAACGTCTCACATAAAGTCGCAACGATCTCATAAAAAAATACACAGCTTGTCTGGCTCATATCCACAACTCACGAAATCACCTGAGTGACCAAACGCTATCTCTACTGTGATGACCCCTCAGGCCCTCAGTCCGCTGCATGGTTACTCACCGGAATGAGGGCGTCTGCGTGTTTTGCGCTCGGCGTGGTGGCGCCTCTCTGCCGAGGCGTTCCTGGGCGAGCGGCGGGCGCCGGTGGCCGCCGTGCTGCCCACCTGGTCCAGCACGTGCCAGTCACCGTCCGGAATCTCGCCCTCCTCCAGCTCATCGCCCGACCAGGCGTCGCCCTCCGAGAGCGCCTCGGCGCCGCCCACGCACTCCGCCATCAGGGCACCGCTGTCGGCCAGAACAGAGACACAACACTAAACAAAACCACACAGAGCTGGAAGTGTACTTCACGGTTTATGTTGGCTATTCTCTTGTGAGGAGCACAAACCATGACACAAAATGAAAACTTAGCAAATAAATAACCCTGACTGCAAACTATGCCAAATATAATAAGATCTTGTCAGTGTGAAGTGTACCTAGACTGTGAGGTTAACCTCACAATATTTGAAGTGAGAATTATCCACTCCTCACTAAAGACACAGTACCTAGGTGTGGGCAGGTGTGGGTTGGTCCTATTGCTCTTGATGTTTACACTTTTTGCATAGCATGCTTTAGTGCAGAGCCATGCCCATATCTCAGGTCTTATTAACTGCCATAGCGCAGTGCACACTGCTCATTTGGCAGCTGCTGACTGACACTGCTGAGTGCTGGATATTGGTATGGGTGCTGATAATTGTGATACAAGACAGCCATAGTAGGGTTGCCTAAAAGTTATTTATGTTTTCAGCTTTATTTGACCTGTCCTTAGTTCAGGTTTCTAAATCAAGTAAGTATGCAAAAGTTCTAGAGTCGAGACCTTTTCTAGTAGAGCCCAAAGGGTGCATAAAGCAGACGGTGAGATGCCGACTGATCAAAACTTCCTTACAACCTAATTGCTTTTACGATGGCCTCTCAGACCAATTGCTTGGCACCTAAAAAGTTAAAAATGTAGGTAACAAATGAACCAACAACATTGGTGAAGGAAATGGTCATGCACAAATTTACTGCTCTGCAGTGTGTGCAGCAGCCAGGCGTGGGGGTAAGGGATGAGTAGTCAGTATGACGTCACACAGCTATGTGCGGTGGACCACAGTCATCGCTGTAGCCGGTCCCGACCAACTACAGGGGTTGCTAGGCTGACATAGGGATGCAGTGGGGCGTGGGCGGGGCTTGGAGCCTGTGTACTGTGTAGTCGTACAGCACACAGGGCCGGGCCCATTAACAGCCCTCTGCAGAGCCTGAGCAATCCAGCAATAACAAAAAAAAAACAACAAGTTGGCCCCCTTCAATTTTCAAAAACCATTGAAGATCAAAATGGTCAATGCAGATGTAACATAAATTCTAAGCAATAGTAAAAGGAAACTTATCAATTCCATAAGTCTATAGTTCCAATCAAGCGTACCTTTTAGATGATGGAGGGAAAAAATATTCCTTAGTTCACATGCATGAAAAAGAAGGCAGCTGTTTTCAGAAGCACTGACTCCACAGAGAAAAGCACAAAAGCGTCGAAAATGGTCGAAAGAGAAGGTTTGTCGAAATGACAATACTATAAAAGATTATGACGTCATTAGTAATGATCATTTGATGACATCTTACCATTGAAATAAAGAACTTGTGACCAAGTCTTGTGACAGAGCAATGATGTTTGTTAGAATCACTTATAAGTCAAAAAATTGCAAATAAATATCAAAACAGTGTTTACTGACAAGTCAACGCTTCAAAAAAGTTCACTTGTCGTTCTTTCTCATCAGCCTTTTCACTGTCAAAGTTGAAAATCGAGTCATAATAATAAAATTGAAGCTCAATGCTTTTAGTAATACAGTAATCAAATCTTTTAAATCTGGCAATATCCCCTTCATTGACCCTACTATACGTTTCTTTAGGTCAATGCCCAATGGTCCCTTGCTTTTTCTTGAGATATTTTTGCATTTGTTTAGTGCGCATTTATATTGTCCTTAAACATGATGAATTTCCTTTCCGTATGTGGCGCACTTAAAACCTTTGTTGCGCAGGTCATTGTTGCTGTTGCAGGTTGAATGTAAACAGTAAATAGATAAAGGTTTATAGTGAAATAGTGATTTGTTTTCTTTTGTAAGTACATATTGAACTTTATTAAGTTTTTTAACCTTTTCTTGGTTACATCTGCCCTTTGCATCCCACTTAAAACTTCAGGAATTAATAGTGTAAGGCAGACATGTGCCTGCTTGGAGTCTTGCAGATTAAATACCTAAATAAATTGACAAGTGTTGCTGAGGTTATAGGAAGGCCTTAAATTAATTATTATTCATTTGTTTTAAACTAAGACTGAAGCTAAATATATAAAATTGAGGTTTTACCCGATCTCAAGAAAAAATTAAATTGATTAATGATCCCAATGAAGCTCTATAGATTAAGGAGCTGGATCTATGATCCCATCAAATCCAGGGCCCTGTTCAGTCGCTGTTTTATATCAGCGTGCTGTCGGTTTTCCCTATGTAAGGAAGTTATTGCTGGTGCGGCTTGGCCTCTCATTGGTCTAACGAATAGACCACTTGAATTCGACCAATGAGGAGCCAAGAAGTAGCAGCATGGTCGCAGGCTGCTGATAAATAAACGGGGTGCAAACAGAGCTCTGGCTTAGGATCCATGGGACCAGATCCCAGATCCAATTGCTTGGTTCCATGCAGTGTGCACATGTCTGGTACAGGGGTTTAAATTATAAAGAGGTAAATAAGGCAAAAAGGGTCATCTTAACTTCACTTTCTGGATGCTTATTCCTTCCTTTAGCTAGTCATCAGGATAAAAGGCCACTATGCTTATGATGAGTCACACTCACATTAAGTGAAAGGTGTTTTGGAAAGGCTGTGTACCAGCTATGATAATGGTAGAGACCAGAGGGTTGGGCTTTAGATTGAACACTACACTTGAACAGCGTTGGTCTGGTTATACCTTGAAAGATGACAGTGAATCAGCAGAAACAGTCAGGGTGCCTTGAGGCAGGGTGCTCCAGTAGTTTGTGATTCTGACTCTTTCAGTGATACCTCCACAAGAGGTACCTACCTACCATTCAGCTTCCTCAGCCTCCACTGCTGGCCTCTTGTGGTCCACAATTTGTGTGTTTTTAGGACTCAGGAGTAACTCAAGTGGTAGGTATGTCTAAGAATCCAGGGAAGGGCTGATAAACATTTGCCATATCTCCATGTTGGTGGCACCATAGTGCAGCGACAGGAGGACAGAGATTTCAAGGCAGGGAAACTTTTACAGGGTACTGCAGGTCCATGAGGTCCATGATCAGGCAGGTCATGAGCTGCTGAACTCCTCCAGTCCAGCCTCTTCTGGTCTTTGGAGAATGAGCTCTAGATGGCAAACCCCATAGTTGTGATATGATCCTTCCAAATACTTACATTCCCTTGTTATGTTCTTGCCTCTTAGTCTTACCTGATGTCTGTTCACTGGTTGCAAAACACTGGATCCCTCAACAACTTCCAGGCTGGCTAGGTAGGTAGGTATTTACTAGGTAACTGATCTTCACAATAAGTCCACTGCCCACTAGGGCAATGTTTGGATGATTTATTGTGTGATTGTCATTATTCTAAGCTAGATGTGATGTGTGGTTTTCAGGCTGTGACTAAACATTTTGCAGGCAGTAACCATGTCTTCAAAGGCCCTGAAGTACCTTGCAGACCAGCAGTCTTCTAGCAAGGAACTCTCAGAGACATGGACCAAGCTGGAGGAGTACTATAACAAGAAGTAAGATAATTGTCACCAAACACAACACTGAAAGGATTTGAGGAGACATTTTTACAATAGCTCCATCTAGTTAGATGATTGAGATTAACAAATAAAAGGACAATTGTAAGAATGATGACATCAATGTTTTACTTTTTTCAACTGTATTTACATTGCAATAAGTAAAATTGTTTTTTTTTTTGTAGAAGGTAGTTGCTTATTTCAGTTGTGACTGAGCATCTTTGATTGTTATCCAAATGATTGTCTTGTTCTACAGGCTGTGGCACCAAACAACTCTTCTGCTCTTGGAGGTTATCAAACACCCAAGTCTGCAGAAAAATGATGAACTACTCAAATTGTATCGCAACTTTGTTGCCGACTTCGAGAACAAGTAAGCAGTACTTATACTTGCATGCATACTACCAAAAACAGTCTTTGAATGTGTGTACTGATCAAGTGATATGTATCTCCAGCCTTCATCTGCGTACATACCTGTGTCATGCCTCATACAAATGTGGTTAATCTGTGACATGTACATATGCAGTTTCCAAAGCTAAAATCCACCAAATGATTCCATTAAACCATTGGTAACAGCTCAACATCAAAACCCATGTGATACAGTTCAGGACCTTGCCCATGTTCCGCGACGATCCTCGCCCTCCGCTCGCCCCTTGTGCCCGGCTGTGACGCTGCTGCCACCTGGTGTCGCCAGAATGAACCACATCTCGCTGGTGGAGATCTGCGGCGCGGCGGTGAAGCAGATCAAGGACCCGGCCGAGGCGATCGCCTTCATCGAGAAGGTGGAGACCAAGGTGAAGGCCACGCCGGAGGCGGTGGTGCTCTGTAAGGTGGTGCTGGGTAACATCCGACTCTACAGCGGCAACGACGCGGCGGGGACCAAGGTACGGGCCGGGCGACGGCGGTAGGTGTGGGACGGGGATTGGATTGGGGCGGTACGGGTGGAGCGAGCTTTGGGATGGAAAAGGTGGTGTAGGATGTAACGGAGCAGACGGGATTGTACGGATCATGGTGGGGTCGGTAGGGCTGTGACTGGGAGAAGCAGACCAGAGTAGCCTGAGCTAACTTAGAATATGTTCGGGTTTCGGAGGAAGTCTGCATTGATGCCTGAGTAATTCCTGGATCGCAGTTAGTTGAGCTCCTGCTCCCAGTCGTGTCCGACTAGGTATGTGTGTGTTGGTGAGGGAGCTCGGACACCACCCGAGTTCGTCTCTCACCCCGCCGGCCGTCACCGTCCGTCCGCAGAAGCTGATTGAGGACGTGGAGCCGATGGTGGACGACCTGGCGCGTGTCAGCTTCATCCACGGCCGCTTCTACCTGCTGGCCAGCGGCTACTACAAGCAGGCCGGCATGCACGCCCAGTACTTCCGCACCGCGCTCAGGTCAGCCGCTGCTTCTGCAGGGAGAACGGTCAACACGGGGGAGAATGAACAAACACATAGGTACAGATACGCAGGGCGACCAAAGAAGACACAAAACACATGGTGTGAACACAAGAACACAAAACATATGGTGTGAAGGCTCAATAGGGCACATCACTACCCATGCATCGATCATGCTGTTAACATTTGGTATGGTATTTTCCTCTACTGGATGGGTTAAGAGCTGCACTGTACGCCTAGTGATGGCCGCATATAGTTTTGTACTGTCCCTAAAGATGTCTCCGGTGTATCCGCGCAGATTCCTGGGCTGTACCGAGCTGGACGAGCTGGAGCCGGTCCAGAAACAAGAGTACGCCTTCTACCTGGCGCTGGCCGCCCTGCTCGGCGAGGGTATCTACAACTTCGGCGAGCTGCTGGCGCACCCGATCCTGCAGTCGCTGGAGGGCACCTCGCACGCCTGGCTGGTCGAGCTGCTGCTGGCCTTCAACACGGGCGACATCGCCACGATGGAGCGGCTGCGGCCGCAGTGGGAGCAGCAGGCCGACCTCAAGGCGCGCCAGCTCGAGCTCCGGCAGAAAATCTCGCTGCTGGCGCTGATGGAGGTAGGTGGCCGGGAAGAGGTTGCTGTGCGTATGAGTGAATGTGAATGCGTGTGCGTATATGTGAAGAGGGCCGGATGTTAGGGAAGGAGAGGGGACGATCGGTGGTTAGTTTCTTAGTTTCTTACCTACTAGCCCTGATTGCACTGTTTCTGGCTTATGAACACCATTTAGCATGATCGATATCGCAACAGAAAAGCCGTCGAGTGGACTTAACGAGTCAGCTTTGTGCCAGATGTGCTGAATTTGTATTATCTCATGACTCTACCGTTGTGGATGCCAAATTATATTTTACACCTCGAAACGAACAATAATTTCTTATGTACCTACCTCACTGTTGATCGATTCCCCTATCCAGATACCTTCCTTCAATCCTCTTTTAAACGTTATCTGATTTTACGGATAATGCTGTATGACGAGACCTGGCACAAAACATATCACCTCTATGAATCTCAGCAGCTGCGCCTCGTCGGACAAAAGTTTTTTTTTTTTGAGCAACTGAGCTATAAGTCAGCGCTGAGAGCACGATAGGGCTAAAGTTCAAGGATTCCCGTTTGATCAATGGGAACTCTGCATCGATCTACCAGCTGTTCTGAGGCACGTCTTTGTTATCAGTTCACTGATGCGAAAATGCATATTGAATGCGATGTTGAATAGTTGTTTGTGATGCACAGTTAGTTCTTTCCACATGCATGCATGGCGTCGACATAGAGTGGGTGTAGTCCTGTGTTGAGAAGTTGCTTAATGCCCTCTGGAGTTTAAATTGTGTTCCCGAAAGTTTCATAACATTTCTTATCTGATTAATTGGACGTCGCTTTTTCACCTTTCATTGTTAATATTTTTTATCTTCGGAACGTTATTTTCAATTTTAGTCCACAGATGCTGTTTGGATACAGAAAAGCGCAGATTCATTTTGACAATTAATACAAAGACTGGGAGGTCTGTCTAACGTTCCAACGATGTGTCTGGCTACTGTCATGCTGACGTGACACGTTATGTTCCTCGGAAACTTGACAAACATCGATCAACCGGAATCAAACTCGGTTTCTGCTCATTCTGCCACCACCAGAACCCCTGGGTTTCCGTATAGCCTTTATTTGTATCCCAGCCGGACCGTCCTGTTTTACTCTGTCTCCGTCCCGTGCCCCATCCCTGCTCATCCCCTACCCTTTCCCCAATGTCACGTCTCGCACCCCGCTCCGTCCGGAGGGCGAACGTCTGATGCCGGCGCAAGTAATGATAAACGAGTCCGGTTCTTCGACAGCAGCTCTCTTATACTCTTCAGTTTTAGGCAACCACTCTTGTTCCTATAAATATTTAGCTTTAATAAGTACGTGTAAACACGCTCGAACTTCTCAATTCAAATTGCCGTGCTTCAAATATGGACTTCTTACCGATAGCACAGCATATCACTGCACGGACGCACATCGACTCAACAGTACAACACTGCACCGTTGGACACAAACACAACAGCACATCACTGCTCGGGCGCACACGGTAGCACAGTCGCACTTATCGCCAATCAGGGCCAGTCTGCCGCCGCCGCGTGATCCACCGCCGGCCGATCCGATCGGTCAGCGCCCCCGGCTATCACCAGCCGACCGGTCATGGGCGGGGTCAGCCAGTGACCGGGCAGGCAGCGGCCGGCCGTAATCCATCACACCCTTACGAATCAAAAGTGGTGCTGACACAGTACACACATACAATCGCGCTTTCATGTTTACATACTTTGTTTTCGAGCTCTCATGCAAGCGCAGCATCCCACTATGTAGTTACGGACTGCGAGCCTGCACCTGCATGACTGCTGTCTAGCTCGTTTGGCAAGTTTGCCCACATGCGGGCTCAATGTTTGCGTCACTAATGCCTGCACGGTGCACGTTTGGCTGATAATCCTCTTCAAACCCCAAGCGCTGCTCCTCCCTTCCAGCTTATTCTCTCCTCCTCCAACCCAGCTCTGACCTACCGTAGCCTCTCCCACCGTTTCCTACTAGCTTCAGTCCGTACTTTCCCATTTCTTCTGGCGTTATTCTCTCTATTTCTGATCCTACCCGCCCCTGCATCTCCCCTTTCCAACAGATGACGGCGTGTGTTCGCCCCAGCTTTAACCCCCTCTCCACCCTGCCAGCTGCCTCTTTCTTTCATAGGTGACGTTCCGCCTGTCAGAACTGTAAATCTCTAACTAGCTCTAATTCCCTCCCTCTCTTCCACTGATAACGTTCCGTCTCCCGGCATTGTTCGCCCTAACTTTTACCCTCCCTGCCCCTCTCCGTTCCCTCCAGAACACGTTTCTCCGGCCGGCACTGTTCGCCTTAGTTTTGACTCCATTCCGTTCCCCCCCAGATGACGTTCCGCCGGCCGGCGCTGTCGCGGTGCGTCACCTTTGCCGAGGTGGCCGCCGAGACCCGCCTGCCCGAGGAGGAGGTCGAACTGCTCGTGATGAAGGCGCTGGCGCAGAACTTGGTGCGCGGCCACATTGACCAGGTGGACAGGACGGTCAACCTCGTCTGGGTGCAGCCGCGCGTGCTAGACAAAAATCAGGTACCGTCGACCGGGGTGAGGGGGCGACTGGGGTGGTGGAGATAGGAATACTTGGGGGAGGAGTGCAACTGGAGTTGGATACCTGGGGGGTTAGATGGGTTATCCTGTGGTCTCATGCTGCCTAAGTGATAGCTTTGTCGATTTGATGAGATATCCTACCACAATGGCATACATTCACTATGACTCATTGTAGGATATCACGTCCCGGCGGCCGAATAAGGACAGTCGTATGTTCTGAGCACTGAACAGGCTCCCAGTGATGTATACGGATTATGGGACTGTAGGGGACCGTTGTAGTACGGGGAAGCACTTACTGATAATCGGCGTCACCTGCGGGCTCTTGAGTGCCGATTTTACGACAGAGAAGGTGTCAGGCTGATCGGTCGTTACACAATCCCGCCGATACGCCCATTGTTGGTTCGGGGCTTTGTATTGTTGTCGGTGGGATTTCGCAACTATCTGGCTGCTAATCCCTCCCCTCCCTCCTCCCCGTCCCCACCACCTGCCGGTCTTGGTGCACTGGCCGGTGCGCGGGCACGACCTCGGCCCACCCGCCGCTACTGTTTTGACCACCCGGCCCGCGGCCGGCACCTTCCTGACCTAACCTACCAGTTAACCGGACTGTGTGAAATGGCTTTAGAGGTGATTCAATTTTGCTATTTTAGCAACTCTTCGTTTTGCGGTTTGTACAAGGCTGACCTTTTTTACTTTTAATCAGCTCTTAAGGATTATTTGTTTCCTTCTTGCATTTTGTTGTTGCTGTTATTTAATGCCATTTCAACACACCTAATAAGGGATTCAGTGCACGAATTCAATGTTCGGCTAACATTTCTTGTTGATTTTTAAATTAAATAAAAATAAAAATTTGATTTTTTTATTTTAGCAGCTCTTTGTTTTGCGGTTTGTACAAGGCTGACCTTTTTACTTTTAACGAGCTCTTAAGGATTATTTGTTTCCTTTTTTGCATTTATTGTTGCTGTTATTTAATGCCATTTCAACACACCTAATAAGGGATTCAGGGCACGAATTCAATGTTCAGCTAACATTTCTTGTTGATTTCATTATCCATTATGAATATGAGACACATTTCGCTTCCGGCATTATTGCGCGCACATTTGGCTCTTTGGCATGCGAGTCTCGCGCGAGTGTCGGGCTAGAACGGCGACTGACTGGAGGTAAGCGATCCTGTGTCATTTGATCCCGTTCCAATGTGATCCAATGTCCGTTTACTATCACATTCTATTGCTATACTATCATGCATTTATCCGGCTCCGACAATCTCAGACTTCACCGGTCTGGGTGTTAACGAATAGCACAGTGATGGAGCGAGATGACGTGATGGGCTCTGACGTGTCGTGACAAGTTATGACGTGTCGTGACAATATCGCGACTGCCCTGGCGTCAGCAGGAAGTCCCCCTGATTAGCTAGTGTTTCAATCTGGGAGGGGCTTCGGCCGCCGACTGAACTAAAATAAACTTAGTGTGATCGTCATTGACGGAACCACTTCCTTTTTCGTCATCATTGTTTGATTAACTCGATGACAGTTTTTTGGAGTAATCAGCCATTTTTATTTAGCGATGAAATATAAAGAAAACATTTCGAACATTCTTCCTCAGCTCATTAAAACGGTTTGAATTATTCGCCGCAGTCGTTCCTGTCTCTACTTTACGACTGATAAAATGTTTTGTTTCTGCCTGAAGGTCGGGAGCTGTGGTTAGTCAGTGTTGCGTGACGCATGCCGTTCTGTCCGCAGCTGTCGTCGATGATCGAGCGACTGGACGTGTGGTGCCGCGATGTCCAGAGCATGGAGATGCTGCTGGAGAACAAGGCGCACGACATCCTCACCTACTGAACGGTGACGTCACCATGACGTCACCCGCCGACACGGCGCCGGCGGTGTCTGGTCCGTCCCCGGGCCACCGGAACAGCGACAATGTGTTCTGTATCTCCGAACTGAAACCGTTTTTCTTGCGTTTAATATATCTGGAAATGGTTGATGGTTTTATGGGGATGTTGTTCAGTCTGGGCTAGATTCATCGGCCATCGGCTTTACGGGTTGTCTTTGACTCGAATTTAGGGTAGGACGCGAACCCAAACAACGGATCTATCATCTTACACAGGCTGATATTTCCTGTTTGCATGACATTAGCGTTGAACGGTCATTACAAGGTCACAAGCGTTCGGACACACACACACACATACAGACGAGCGGAAACGAGTCGTACGACAGAGCGAAATAAAAACAGCGGGTCGAGTACGGGGCAGCCGGGCGGGCGGACGGAAGCGGAGGATGGAGATAGAATTCCCGGGTGCACTGCCCGACACTGATAAACAGAACGTTGGCAGTCGCAGCACGCCGAAGCCGTCCCAAATAAGGCGCCGTCAACATTCGGCAGCCATTCACCGTGTTTTGTAGCAGGCTATAGACGGCACATTGCGCTCTGAACCTCCTGATACCAGAAACCGGTCGGGATAGGATATACCAGGCCTGATGTACAAAGTTCGGCGGGTCTGGCCAGGCTTCCGCCCCTCCCCGCCCCAGACCGGTCGGTTGCCAAGTCGGTGGGCCAAACTCCCTTGGCTCTGGGTGACAGCACCGAGGAGATATTGCGGGATCTGGCGTCTCAGACTCGATCCAATGCCCCCTCGCCCCGGCCCTCCCTCTCATCAGACAGTCCCCGGGGACAGCCCTCCGGCCGCAGCTGCTGCAGCTCCGAGAGATGCAGCAGCTGCGGAATTCCAAATGCAGCCAGACTGCGGAAATCCCTGACGGCACTGGCATCAACATAACTGAACGATATACATGGAGAGAGCGAGCTCCGAGAGCCGTCTCGAGGAATGCGCCGCGTACCCGGCAATGTTCCACCGAACGAGATCACGGGGAAAACCAAACCGCCGGAACGCGCGGCCGGTCTTCCGGTCTCGGTAGTCGCCAGTCTCGGTGTCCCCGGCTGGCCGGAGTCTGTGCTGCATCCTGAACCGTCGCTCGGTTACCTCTGGACGCGGTCTACGTCGGCTACTGCGCGGGCGTGGTGAAGCTAGTTCTTGGCCAGGTCCAGCGCCAGCTTGTACGCTAGCTCCGGGGGCCGGTCTCGGCCGGCGGCGATCGCTCCCGCCTGTGACGACGGAGGGGTCGGTCAGGGGAGGGGCGACGTCACGCCACATCGTCACGTGACGCACGCGCCGTGCCGTGCCGCCCGCTGGCTACAGGACTAATGACGACGGCGCCGCCCGACACCCGCTGTCGGAACCAAAAGGCCGGCGTGGATCCGCGTAATCACCAATCCAATGACGATGACAGCGACACGCAGCCGTTTTGGGGCAAACAGGGCAGTGGCGTGGTCCTCGGCTAGACCGAACAGTTGAATTTCATTGAAAGCATTGGTCGTGTTCTACTGAACGGGGTTTTTCGATGAGGTTAACAGGATTGTTTACGTTTCCTCGCTTTGGCCGCCGTATCGGCTAGGCGCGGGTGCCGCAGCGATCTCACCTTTGCCGAGTCCACCACGAGGCCGTGCTGCTCGGCGACGGCGCACTTTTTCTTCTCGATGTCTTCGGCGTTCACACCGCGGCACGCGTCCCAGGACGGTGGTGCGGAATCCCTCCGACAGAGCGTCCATGGCCGTGGCGGCTGTCGAAGCGCAGGGCGGGGGTGGGGCAAGCTTCAGGGAACGTGTCGAGGCGAGTTGTTGTTGTTGTTGAAGAACGTATTGTTGAACGTTCACGTGTTGAGGCGAGGAAGCGGATAGTTGCACGTGTCGATGCGAGATGCATCTTCCGAGACTTTTGAAAGAGGGATACCGACTTAAAACTTTGCTAGGAAAGGAAGTGTCAGGATGACGAAAGGAGAAACATTTTACATTTTCTCCAAGTTCCCGGAAAAGTTTTCTGACGAAATCATGGGACCCTTTTTTTGTGCAGTGCGGTAAGTTTATCTCTATCTCTGAAAACTCCAGACACGTGCAGTGTTCTAGAGTGATATATGTAGGTGTTTCAACTTTTGTAAACCAATGTTTTGATTGAAAAGTAACCTTGATATATTTTACCGACTTATCCGGTGTCCGCACGAGGTTCTACACGTGCATTATACCGCGAAAGAACTGAAAATTGTCTTTGTTGGACAATGAAACGTGTCTTCCATTCTACTTTCGAGTTTATAAATGCATGAGGACGACGATCCAGGATAACCTTGTTCTCCACCACCCGTTCTTAAAATAGTTTTCAGGACTCTACAGCCCAGTCGCCATTCAGTGATGAAACCTTGCTCCCATTCAACAGTGCTCATGAATGCATGCAGGTATTCATGACCACGAAACCCTTCTCCATTATGCATCAATGTTGTATGTGGCTTGTGAGAACACGTGGGAGCGAGGTTCCAAATGACACCAACCCTACCCACCATTTCAATCCCGGTAACCACCTACACGGAGTTGGCCTGTGCCGCCAACTCCCTCGACATCAACTAGTGTCGCCATAGCTCTTCCAAGCAGCCGTCCAGTCCACCCTCTGTCTAGACACTCTACAGTCAGCCCCCGACCCAGAACCCCTTCCCCAGCCGTCCGTCCTGCCCCTCGTACCGACACAGACGTCTGTAGCCAGGCCGCAGACGATCACGTCTGTGATGAACCGCTGCTTCAGCTGCTCAGACAGGCCGGTTGACGACTCGCGCGCGTTGTCAAAGAACGCAGAGTACGACTCGATCTCGCGGTTGCAGCCCTTCTTGATGGTGAGGGCTTCGTCCATGACCTGAGGAGTGAGAGGCCAGGTCAGGTCGTTGTCGGGCAACTTGATCAAGGTTTTTGACCCTACTTCCGTTGCCTTCTATCGGTCAAAAGGACACCGTCTATGTTCGTTGATCCCGACAAATTACGAAGGCTGGTGCTCTTCAAAGCGTCTCATCACTGTAGCTACTAATGCTAAAAGTGCCCACCCCGACTAGGAATGGCTTGTTTGATCGACGTGATCTCGCTATTTCGAAACCATAAAACCGGGAGATCCGTGGTGGTGTTGAGATAAGTAGACGATTAAATCGCTATTTTTGTCATGCAAACGGATGTTGGGGTGAAAGCTCCAAGGCGTAGGTAGTGTTGCTCAAAATGTCAAGGCCCAAATCAGGATGGTCACGTTTGACATTATTTGGACTACTCGCCAATCGGTGGAACGCAGATAAGGAGGAGGGCTTATACGCATCGAACATCATAAAACACCAGCGCCTCCGGGTCCCGCCAGTTTCCTACAGTCAAGAGGCTGTTAGTCTGCACTTTACCTTTAGGTCGGGATGCAGCTGCGCTCCCCACGACTCCTGGATGCAGTGCGGGGGCCAAAGTGTCTGCTCCCGGACCGGACTGTCAAACACCACCGTGTCCAGCACTTTCGCTTCCTCCGCCGATACCTGTTCGAGTTCGAAAATTCCCGTCATTGTCATAGACATGCGTTTTCACATATGCTCTGAACGACCTAATACGCCTAGTGAAGCGGTTCTCAGAGTCAACCTTTTAGCAGTGGATCTGCAATGCTAAACAAAACATGTACGTATGCGATACATGTTCCACACAAAACTCACTGACGGCGGGCAAACTTGACAATCGCGACAAAGCTTTCGACACCCTATTTGGCGCTTACCTTGGAAGACGAGTGCATCGGGAAATTAGCGACATTTGTGACGAACGAGATGTGGTCACTGGGGTGCCAGTCGAGTGAGTAGACCACCACGTCAAACTTGACAGAGTCCAGCACAGAGTTGATGACGGGAACCACCTGAGGTGCAGCGAGATAGTTGGACAGAGGGTTAGACTCGCGCAGGCTCGGACTTATGGGGTTCTCATCGGCTTCATACTACCGAAAAGGCGTACTGGAACAGTAGGTACTCAGAACGTGATCTCTGCAAGTATTTGATGTCTCCAGTTCCAGACTTGTGTGTTTGGCAATCTGATTACTTAAGAAGATGTACGTGAATGTCGTTTTTTACTGCGCCAGCTGTATTTAAACAATCATAAATAGAAGAGCGCTAGGCAACGTATGTTTCTGGAATACATATAGGCATGACGCATATTCAATTTTCAAAACATAAACGGATATCCAAGAGACAGCAATCGATCACTAGCCATAAACACACGCCTTGTCTACGCGTCATTATGAATTATAGTAGCCTTGGCTGCACCACTGGGCCCGTTTCTGTAACACGGCTGTGGTAGCCCGGTGGGCGTGTCACCCATCTGCCTTTTATGGGCGTCATTTCGAGGAGCAGAGGTCGATGCGATGCGTCACACAATCTCTGGCACGCGTGTCGGAGACGCGTCTATGCGAGGCTCAGGCCCGTTTCCGCGCCACGTAACACGGCCGGGCGTCACGTTACACGGCTGGGCGTCACGCAGTCCTCGTGTGCCGATACCCTCAATTAGAGTTCTCCCATTTCGGAGTAAATAACTTGGGAACAAATTAGGCCCGCCACAGCGGGCGAACTTTCTGCAGCGCTATAATGTATGGTGTGTGTTTCAGGCAACGCGTTTGGAGAACGACAACGTAACAAAACAACAATTAATAAGTCAACGTTTGAAATTATCCGTAGTAAAAAAGTTTTGTATTGACACATGGTTCGTGTCTTGTGACCCTAGGTCAATATCACGAAGCCGTTAGCAGTCGGTCGGCTGTCGCTGTGCACTCAGAAGAGGGTATTTATTCCTCCTTGGGTTATCTTCTCGGCTTATAGGACGCGTGCGACATTTCATTTACCATAACCAGTATTTATATTAATACATGCGGAATGCGGATACGGGAGTGGCTTTTTACCCGTCACACTTACGTTAGTCGTGAACCATAACACATCTTCTAAATTGGATTGCCCTCGTAAATCCTCGGTAATTAGCGATAGGTTACGGAACGTTACTTTGCAGAACGGGTTATAACTTCTGCAAAGCATTCATACATGTTGCATGACTAGCAAAAGAAGTTAATTTCACTTACCTCTTCACCTTTGTGGCCTGCAGGGCAGTTACAGACCGCCAATGATCCCGAGATGAAGTCGTTCTGCACGTCCACAATCACAAACGCCGTTATTGGCCGCAAAATCTGAAATATACCGAGCTCGGTCAGTTGTGGGGTCATTAATGCTAGCTAAGAAGGTCGCGGTTAGCTTGGTCTAAGTTCGATCTCTATAGGTTGTGTGATACGTCTTTTGGATTAATAATGGAATCTGATACAATCCGAGTTGTTCAGCTCATTTCTTATGAGAATGTTCTTTGTCTTATTTTAAATATAATATTTTATAATTCCATACCCGGTGGGTGGAACATTGAACGAAAGTCCGCCCTTGCATTGATCCAGTCTTGGTGAATGGCCCACGGCGCCCTAGCAACTCTCACATACAGGATCGAACACGTCCGGTCTATGGGGGCGGGCGGCGTCCCCCGCTCGTGTTACCGAGCTGACTCACGGGCGTGATCCATTTGCTCCAGCACGTCTGGAATTCGGCGCTGTCGATAAACCCGTCCTGTAATGGGCATGTCGGGTCATATGGTGGCATAAAGCCTTCGGAGGAGCTGACAGCCTGATACTGTAGTGAGATGAGCCGACTATATGATAACGCCAAACTGATTTGCATAATTTGATGCCACGTTATTTGACTTTGAGTATCATGAGAAGCTTTTAACTTACGAGGTGTCATCTATAAAGAAGCGCCGGCAGCCTGTAGCTCAGTGCGAGAACTCGTGTTGCGGGGAAGTGTAAAGTGATTGTCACTTGTCACCCTCTGGGACTGCAGATGCGTGATTGGCTCACCTGGTTAGTGTCAAAGACGCTGAACATGCAGGCCAGCTTTTTTATCTCGAGCGGGTACGGCGCGCCGGTCTCGTCTCTGAAGAGCGCCCGGCACAGCGCCCCGAACTCGTCGACACTCAGCTTGCCGTCACTGGAAGAGGTGCGACAACCGCGGGGTCAGCAGGTGCTGCAGGGGAGCGAGTCGACCAACGGGTGAGTGACGAGCAGGGCTGATCGGGCTAGGGGGACTCATCTGCTTTCCTCTTGCGAGCTCGGGAACGCGCACTCTTTCGCTGGCCCTCTCATTCTGTCCTCTCTTCCTCGCCCTCCCTGTCCCTCTCTCTCTCTCTCTCTCTCTCTCTCTCTCTCTCTCTCTCTCTCTCTCTCTCTCTCTCTCTCTCTCTCTCTCTCTCCCTCCCCTTTTTCCCTCTCCCTCTCCCTCTCCCTCTCCCTCTCCCTCCAGCCTCCTCTAATTCATCATCTCAGTGACGTGTGCGACTCCTGGAATGTCGTTACGGAAATCTCCGACTCCTCAGTAGTCAGTGGTCACAGATCGTTTCGGACTGAAGGCCGTGGAGCTACCGATACCAAAGGAAGGGTAAACTGGAGCTCTGAATCGCTCAGGTTTGATTGTAAAGGTGTCTGGGATCTTGATAGTGCGAGCGCTGGGAGTGTGATTGGTCACTGGTATGACGACATCGTGACGTCATTGGTGTTTTGCAACCGGTATCGATGTTTTACGACTGTACGCAATTAACGTGATTGAGTTAGCGCTTCCAGTCCAGCCAACGAAGTTGTGACTTGTGAAATGTCCGATCTATTGCAAATGGCAAGCCATTAACACCTTAAATCTTAATGAAATAGGTACTGCAATTGAACATGTAATTTATAGCATCAACCTAATTCGCCACAGTATGATATGATACGGTTTGATACTCGATAATTCAAATAAAAACTCACGGATCCAGGTGTTAAAGGCCTATCTGGTGTTTATCATGCAGAGCAGAGATATCCATTGTGCGTTCGGTTTGGCTAAACTAAAAGGGTTAGTTGGCATTCCCGCCGGGCGCCGACCTAGGCAATTACAGTGCAAAACAGTTATGGACAAACAAAACAGTTTTGGTTTAGCATTGCTAAAATTGTCCGTGACACGGTCATGTCTTCCGGCTTGCTGACGTCATGTTTTTTCACAGATGAGAGCCGCTGCCTTTGTTGAGCGCCGTTGCATGACTCACAAGTCACGGTCATGGTCGGAGCTCACCTGTCCAGATCGAAGGCCTGCAGGCAGGCGTCCATGCCATTCTCCAGCGTGGCATGGCCGTCGGATCGATTGAAGAACTCGCTGCAGTCCTCTGCCATGGCTGCACTGTGTTCGATCACCACTCAGCACAGACCGTCTCGACACCTCCGCTCTCGACGACAGGAGCACGCCCGCGGCGCGGCGCCGACTGCGCAGGCCGCCCGGCGCCCAACCCACCGACTCCGGCTACTTTCACGCGCTCACCTCACTCGGAAACCTTTGGGACTCGGCCAGCAGGTCACGACCGGCGGACAGCTGCCACCTCGTGAGAGGCGTCCGAACTAACACTGCAGCCGGCTGGCCGCTAGGTGGCAGACCATCCGCCCGTCTGTATCGATTCAGCCGGACGGACGGCGGGACGAACGGACCGACGGACGGGCGACGGCGCTGGGCCGGCGCGCGACTGCGGCCGCCCGACAGCGGCGGGCCGCAATCAATACATACGAGGCGGGTCAGCACAGGTGGCTCACTCGCAGACCGGCCGAGCGAGGAGCATGTGCCCCCGGGAGCTGCGGCAGCGCCGCCGCCGCGCCGCCTGAGTCGTGCCGACCGCTGCTCTCCGACTCACGGTGAGTACGGACCACAGGAGGGGCTCTGGGAGGGGGAGGTCAATGTAGGGAGGTGTAAACTGTTTGTTGAGTCGAAGTTGCCTCGATGTGGACGGTTCGATCTTGTTTGTCGCGTCGCGTGTCCTTGACGTGGCAAGGTCACGGACGCTCCAAATTGCACCTGTGTTTTTAGGTCACTGACTTGCCTATGCTGTCTTCGACTGCTGCCGGTTAAAAAGGACATTTACACGTTGCCATAGTTTTAGGCATTCGGTGCCTGTTTTGGTGTCGGGCACGGTGAATCGTGCGGCGCCCCGCCGCTGCGACTTTGGTGCGTGTAAAAACATTAGCCAGGTGATTTCTTTTTACTAGGTATGCGTGGCAACATGTCAGATCTGAGATCATGATGTTTTTCTCTCTCGCTGTGAGTCTTTATTGGTGCAGAGCCATCTAAACATCTGAGCTGCGCGTTCTTAATCGGTCTCAACCCTTAATTAGCATCTATCTACCTAATTTCTGATTATTGCTTTTCACTTAGTTACATTGATGCTGCCAATTATTTGGTAATATCGTTAAGAAATATTGACCGTTGATTTGATTTTTGTGACCTCACTTTAACTTGGATTAGATGTTACTAAAACGGTCTCGTAGTTAGGTACTCTCGAGCACTTTTGATGTCGTTCCTTCTTAGCCCAGGAGTCGCCGAACGAGAAAGGGGCGATATAAATTCCCCCGGCACTTATGCACCGGACTCGTGTGGAATCGGTCAAAAATCAGTGGTCTCGGCCTAAACTGGAGTATCTAGGCTGGTGACAAATACCTAAGAGATGTAAGATTGTCTTCCCATCCCGTAACCTGACCTTAGAAATCATCGAAGTCCGAAAACCCCAAGGTTTGTTTCGTCATTCGCTCCTGTTCAGATTTAAATTTGACGCGCTGCTCCATTGACATTTCACATTTGTGCCAGAACCGACTACCTTTACTGAAGCGATGGAAATGAGGAAATCATAAAAGCGAACTGAAAGGAAATAGGTGCTGACTTGTCTGTAGTATAAATCTGCATTCACTCAGTCGTCGTTTAAAAAATACCCGACCGAACTCGGGATTATACTATTTTGCTAATGCGTCTAGCGTCCGCTCCATTTGGCAAAATGTTTCAGTTTCGTTCTTTTGAGCAAGCATTCCTTGTCATTCTGTACCCGTTACATTAATCACTCAAACTCATGTTTGTACGGTGTGGAGTTGACCTGGGCGCTCAGCTCCGCCGCCCGCATGTCCCGCGGACCCGTATACCCGCTCTGGCCGGGGCTGTTCGGAGGGGCAGCGCTCTCGGGACCGGGTCACCGGGCTATCGACTGCAGTGGGGGGGGGGGGGGGCCTCACCAGAGCCGACCGACGCCAGAACACAATCAACAATAAATTCCGCGAACCCGGCTCCGTTATCAATAGGCCCTCCACCAAACGGGGATCGATGGGGAAAGAGGTTCCGAACGTAAAATTAAGTCGGAGTAAAATAAATAAAGTGAGACAAGACAGAGGTACAAACACCTACTGTAGTAGACTTAATGAATGGCTAAAACCCATGCACAAACTGGCACAGTGACCCACTTTTTAGCGTCGATTGCACCTCACTCCTCACCCCTGACCGAGCCGTATCTTTCGCAGGACCTTCCGGTGGCAGTTCTACTGGCCCTCTTCACTGTCTGCCGGGGACCTCTGCTGGCGACTTCTACCAGTGACCTGTCACTGACTTCTACAAGTGACCTCTTCCTTTTGCTCTTTACCGATCTGTACCACCAGTGACCTGTCCCTGACCTGTATCAGCGACCTCTCCTTGTCACCCCCCCCCCCTCCTCCTCTGACCCTGCGCCGCGATGGCCACGGAGCGCCGTCCGATCTGCCCGCGCCTCATCGACTACCTGGTGGTGGTGGGCACCCGCTCGCCGTCCCGCCAGTGTTCCGTGCAGCCACCCGAGCTGCTGCGACGCTACCCGCCCGACGAGCACAAGGACTTTCCGCTACCGCTGGATGTGGTGTGCTTCTGCCAGCCCGAGGGATGCGTCACCGTCGGACCCAAGAAGACCGTGCTCCGGGAGGCCACCAGCTTCGTGTTTGCACTCACCAATAAGGATTCGGGTAGGTGGGAGGTAGGGTAGGGGAAGGGTGAAGGGACTCGGTTTGATTGTGATGGGTGGGTGATTTAGACATTGGCTTGCTACTGTGCGTTGATCTCATCTCGCCTATTGGAAACGAGGCGTGAGTCACGCCTCGTCGTTCAGTATTATTTGCCGATTATCCCTGTTACGCCCCGAGACTAGACGGCTGTCACTGAGGACGCTTATTTTCATCATTATAGAACATTGACGTTCATCAATGAAAAGATAGGGAACGTTACCCAACGAGCCTCTGGCTCCAGCACTGCCACTCATTGTCCGCCGCTCAATAGCAGTTTCTCACCGGTATTATACGTCAATAGCATTTGACGTGGATGAATAATGTCATAACACACGCCAACTACCACTTACCAGTGAACCTGGCGTCTCTTCAGACATTCAGCAATTGTGACGTAGCCCTGGGAACGCCCATAACAACCCACATGTCTTACAGCGACCACCTCCCCGCCCCTCTAACCCTCGACTTGTCTGCCCGCAGGCAAGACGCGGTACGGGGTGTGCATCAACTTCTACCGAGCGGTGGAGCGCTGTGGCACCAGCCGCCGCGCGGACCGTCCTTCCAACGGCTCCAAACGCGACTCGTGGCGCAAGAGTTCTGACCGCAGTCCCGACTCGGCGTTTTCTAGGTGAGGAGCGGACGGAGGGACAAATACAGACAGACAATGGATATACAGACAGACAGACAGACGGAAAGACGTGACGTCAAACAAACAGACTACTCTATTTAGAGAAGTCTATGGACGAACGAACAGACTGACAGACAGACAGACAGACAGACAGACAGACGGAGGCTCGGACGGGGACGGCGAACACTTGTACGGCCTCGTGCCAACCCCGAGGTCGTGGGCGGCAGGTCACGGTCGTCACGAGGGGACGGGGTTCATAGGATAGACATTACGACCGGGTGACGACGAGACGTATGTACGTGGGAGATGGCTCTGGTCAGAATACGGAGCCGGTCATTGCCTGAACAGATTATCGCCGATTATTATTGCTGCTGTTGTGGATGAGAAGTACAGCTCTCGTCCATGCTGTTGCGAGTATGGTTTTGGTTGGAATAAGACCAAACCATGTAGGATTAACAGGATTAGGCCAAAAGCATTTGCTTTATGCTCACAATGGCATTTGAAATAGATGACAGAGGCATCTATACAGAGATTAAGTAATTGTGTTTAATATTTCTGAATGCTAGCCTTGTGTACGGACGGCTGATGACGTTATTACGAGCCAGGGAAAGGGAAATTGAAAGAAAGGGAAATGAATTACAGTGTACGAAACTCAAGCGTCATATGAAACGCTGATAAATGGAAAGTCATTCCGGTTTCTTTCCCTTTGATGCAATGTCTTTATTTTTCCATTTACGTTCCGAAGGTTTCGTTCTTGGTTTTGGGCCAGACGCACTTTGCCGTGACATGACGTGCTATACTCATCCCGCCATGTAACTGGCTGTATTACTATCTGAATGTCCGTCTATGACCGGCAGCGATCACCGGTTGTCACTGTATCAGTGTCTGACTATCCGTTTGTGAACCGGCAGTGATCACCGCTCGACCGCGGCGGCTCCCGACTCAGACCGGCTGGCCGATGACGTCACCCGTCCCGTGACGTCACCCACGCGCACGGCGGCGGCAGGGGACAATGGCGACCCGACCGGTTCATCACCGCGCTCTAGTCGTCGCAAACAGGTCAGTGGAGGGGATTTACTGGGGGTCAGGTCACTGAAATGGGTCACCACTAGGTCAGAATACGGTCCTCTGCTGACGGGTCACTATCACGTTTCAGACGAGCCAAAGCACGCCTACCTATTGAGAGATAAGTCACTGGCAGAATGCACTGACTGGTCACTGGTCGCCAATAGCCATCGGTTAAAAGACTTATTAGCGATAGAAGAGCCACATGCTTGTCAAGGCTTAGTAAGTACTTGATGTAAGCACTAAGCAATAAGCATTCTGTATACTATGTATCCTATATATTTTTGTATACCTGCTATGGCGCGCCTACCCTCCTCAGACTAGTGACCAAGCTCATGCGTAAAGGGATATGGACACTTCGTGCGTTTTCATAGGTACCAAACTGCGCCCTCCCTGATCGCTCCGGATTTTCCTTGCGTTAGCTCCGCTCTTTTCTGGTTATTTCGTGAAATTGGTCCGTTCTGCTACGTTTGCTGCCGATATGCACGTGGATGCGTATCGGATGGCGACTAGCAAAGGTTCGTGATTTCTTGTCGTGAGCTGTTTTCGGGCGGCACGTCGCGACCGCAAGTGGCTTCGTCTGCTTTTTGTGTGTCGTGTCTCGACGGCGGCAGTGTCCGTCGATGGCGATGGAGCCCACCCTCCGTCCGGCTGTCGGCGGCGACGGTCTGTTCTATGGGGGGGGGGGGGGGCTGACTCAGCCCGGGTGATGGGCTGAGTTGAGTCAGCAGCCACTTCCCGCCCAGACGATCACTTGAGGGCCTCACACGCACGCACACAGCGAGAGGCTGCGTCACAGAGGTCAATTGTGAGCGTGTGACGCGCGCTGAATGATCCACAGTGACGCAGTGACGAGGCAAAAGCATAGGGTATTGTATTTTATCGGAAACTCGAGGAATCTTTGACGCATTCTGTTGTACGTACATGGCAGAACTTATTTTTATGGATTGATCTGAACAATAATACACATATGAGCAGGCCAGTACGACGATTTTTGTCTCCGCGTGGTTCATTTGCCTCTCTCCATTCTCTCGAGATTCTTATGCCTTATGTCCCCTCGTTTGGTCCGCCCGACACAATCTGGTCCTTTCGTGACTTCCAGTGAATTTGTCCCAGCTCCGCCACCGCCTGACGTAGACTGTGGTTGGACGCCGACTGTGGTAGTCATTAGTGGATGACCTGACCAAGCTGTGCTGTGGCTGCGGCGACCCAGGACTGGCGGACGGCGCGGACGTAAATCGTTAGCGGCTAGGCTAATCGGTTTATCGGTTACCCCGCTGGTGCTGTATTCTAGTGAATGTATAATGAATCACTGCGGGTGGCAACATAAACTGCGCGATGGGTTGCGAAAGTTTGCGCCCATTTAGTTCGTTTGACCTTTTACTTGGACAGGGACGGACGCTGTGTTTTGTGATACTGGTGAATCGATTTATTCCGAGAAATAGTCGTGCTCGTGAATATGAAGGAGCGTTTGGGATATATGCTTTATGTATGTCAACATGTGTCAAAACACGGCTCCCACGTAATGCTATAACGTCGAAACGCTTAGAGCACAACCCGATTGAGTGTTCAGTTCATGGGTGTAACTTTGTATACTTTTGAGGTCCCATGTGGGACCCCAATGCAAACATTTGGGACCCCAATTGTCATTTTGGGACCCCAATAGTGGAGGCCCCTGAGACGCACCAGCTACTTTACAAATGGAGGTCCGATGTTCATATAGAAGGTTCTCTGTATAAAAAGGAGGTCCTTTGGACAAATCGGAGGCCCTGTTGGACAAATGGGAGGCCCCCTGGACAAATAGGAGGCCCTCTGGACAAATAGGAGGCCCCCTGAACAAGTAGGAGGCCCCCCGGAAAACAGGAGGCCCCCTGGATAAATAGGAGGCCCCCTGGAGAAATAGGGAGGCTCTCTGGACAAGCAGGAGGCCTCCTGAACAAATAGGAGGCCCTAGACAAATAGGAGGCCCTCTGTACAACTAAAAAGCCCCCTGAACAAATAGGAGGCCCCATGGGCAAGTAGGAGGCCCTCTGCAACTAGGAGGCCCCCTGAAAAAAATAGGAGGCCCCCTGAAAAAATAGGAGGCCCTATGAACAAACAGGAGGCCCTAGAACTAGACAAACAGGAGGCCCCTTTCACAAAAGGAGGCCCTCTGGACAATTAGGAGGCCCCCTGGACAAATAGGAGGCCCCCTTTATGAATAGAAGGACCCTGGATAAATAGGAGGCCCCCTGGATAAAGAGGAGGCCCCCTAAAATAGGAGCCCTCTGCATAAATAGGAGGCCGCTTGGAAAATAGGAGGCTACTTTAACCAATAGGAGGTCACCTGGAAAAATAGGAGGCCCCTGAATAAGTAGGAGGCCCGCTGGACAAATAGGAGGCCTCTTGGGCAAATACAGGGTGGGGCAGAAAGATTTACCTGTTTGTTTTCAGCCCATAACTCAAAAATTTATGGACGGATTTTAGTGAAATTTTGCATGCGGCTTCCCAACTGACTCGTGTATAACTATTACGATCGTTTTTAATTTTATCAGGGTTGTTGATGAGCTATGGCGGAGATTACAAAAAGAGCCCAAATTGCGGTGCCGATGCAGGCTGGCCACAGCGTCCGAAGCGTTCCCAAACAGCTCGGTGTTGCCATAAAAACTGCTAACAAAATAATGAAATGCCTGGAAGAGACAGGCACAGTGTCGATGAAGTCCATGGCAGGCAGAACAAGGCATGTCCGCACCAAAAAGCTGGTTGATATCGTGCACAAGATGGTGTTTCGAAATCCTAGGCGAAGCATGCGCAAACTGGCAAGGGACCTTGATTTTTCGCCCAAAATGGTCAGGAGAAACATAAACGACGATTTGGGCATTAAGTAATACAAGATGCAAGGTCGACACCTGATTTCGGCGGCATCCAAGGAAAAGCGGCTACACAGGGCCCAAAAGATATTGGAGGAAATCAGAAGCGCCGGTAACAAGGTCTTCCTCTGATCCAATGAAGAGATTCCCACGGTTGAGCCCCAGATGAACTCCCAAAGCGACATAATCTTGGCAGATGGTACATCCAGTATTGATCCTGCTATCCGGACCAGTTTTGGTCGCCACAACCCTGCTGGTGTTATGGTTTGAGCTGCCGTCGCATCCGACGACTCAAAAGGACCCTTGATCTTCATCGAGGCGGGTGTGAAAGTCAACTCACACGTTTACGTCCATCTGCTGGAGGAGCATGCTTTGCCTTGGGTCACTCAGTCGTTCCAAGACGGATACGTCGTCGTCCAGGACGTTGCGTCGCCTCACACGGCCAACTTCACTCAACAGTGGTGCAAGACCCACATGCCTGGGTTCTGGGACAAGAACATGTGGCCATCATCAAGTCCAGACCTGAGCCCGATGGACTTCACCACCTGGGCCATCCTGGAGAGGGAGATGTGTGCAACACCACACAGCAGCATCGCTGCTCTGAAGCTGGCCCTCGACACGGCATGGTCGATTTTCGACGAGGGCACCGTGCGGCGCTCGTGCCACTCCGCAGGTTGAAGTTTCGGGGCAGGGGTGAAGACGAAAGGTGGCCATATTGGTCAATATTACCGTTGCTGAGATGTGTACATGCTACTGAATACGTGTACTAAAAATCAATTGAATATCTTTGTTCGGGACCGAAATATTTTAAGAAATCAAGAGGTAAATCTTTCTGCCCCACCCTGTAGGAGGCCCCTAGAAAAATAGCAGGCCCCTTGGACAAATAGGAGGCCCCCTGAACAAATAGGAGGCCCCCTGTACCTACAAATAGGGGGCCTCTTGAACAAATAGGAGGCCCCATGGACAAGCAGGAGCTAGAGGTCCTCTGTACGAATAGGAGGCCCCCTGGACAAATGGAAGGCTCCCTTAACAAAAAGGAGGCCCTTCAAAAAAAAGAGGCCCCTGGACAAGTAGGAGACCCCCGGACACATAGGAGGCCCTTGCACAAATAAGACACCCCTGGTAGGATAGAAAACCCCTGGATAATTAGGAGGCCCCTGAACACGTAGGAGGCCCCCTGGATAAAGAGGAGGCCCCCTGGAAAATAGAAGCCCCCTGGATAAATAGGGGACCTTCTGGACAAACAGGAGGCCTCCTGGACAAATAGGAGGCCTCCTAGACGAATTGGAGGCCGCTTGGACAAATAGGAGGCCCCCTAGACAAATAGACTCTGTAACAGTAGGAGGCTCTCTGTACGTGCAAATAGGAGGCCGGCGCTCGGCCTGTAGAAACTTAGCTGTATGTACAAAAAGGAGGCTCTCTGTGCAAGTAGTCGAAGTAGGAGGTTCTCTGTACTATACCTACAAATAAGAGGCCCCCTGGGCAACTTAGAGGCTACACAAATCGGAGGTCACCTATAAAAAGCGGGACTCTGTTGGAATGCCTGTTTGAATAAATTGTTTTCCTGATATTCAAATTATTTAATCCTCGTCCGCACATGGGGAGGCAGTGGTTGCCACTCCCCCCCCCCCCCCGGTAGTTTTTTCTGCTCTGCACTCAACATTTTGATTGCTAGAAGCCGAATGTTTCGTACATATCTGTTTCTCTATCCTTTCTTAGCGTCCACTAAAAATTTCAAGGTTCTGTGGTTTTTGGTTTCGGAGATATGACTTTATTCTTCAGGTGATGTCATAACCCAAATGACAAATGCCCAATATCCTGCGTTGGCTATGGGTCTTGTGAGCGTTTGACACCTTGATTTCGGCCTTTTTTTGCCAGTCTTACCTTCCACCTATCATGGAACATGTTGTTCGAATGTGTAGAGATGCCAGGATCAAGGTCAACCTAGGTCATCTAAAAATATTGCGTTTTAGGCAAGCTGAGTTGACTTTCGTGAAGTTTCTTTGACTGTAAAAGCTTCTCAGTTCATGATCTCATGCTATATGGACACATTCACAATCGGTGCACAAATCAGTATACAAACAGACACACACAGACATACAAACACATATCATTGACCTTGACCTAACTTGACCTGAAATGACCACAGCCAGCAAAAACCTAGTCGGATAGTGTGACAAAGAGGTTCTAGCTGGCTTGGCACCACAATACGGCAGCGTCATCGGTATATGATGAGCAGCGCACGTGTTATTCCAACGGGCAACGGTGACCCCAAACAGCAACATTCTTTAGTTTGACCTGACCTGGAAAGTCAATTACTGACCTGATGAGGTTAAATTTGGTATCATTGGATTCGTCTCTTCCCAAAAAATCTGTTGCTCTTGACCGCGAAGCTTAAAATCTTGTTTGAATAAATTGTGGTGATGTCGAATAAAATACCTACACAAGCAGCGGGCCAACCCATCATAAACCGATGACGCTGCCGTATTGGTGCCAAGCTAGCTAGAACAGCTCTTTGTCACACTATCCGACTAATTTGCTGGCTGTGGTCATTTCACGTCAAGTTAGGTCAAGGTCAATGATATGTGTTTGTATGTCTGTGTATGTCTGTGTATGTACTGATGTGTGCACAGATTGAGTTGTGTGTCCTTATTACATGAGATCATGAACTGAGAAGCTTTTACTAAACATGCAGTCAAAGAAACTTCACGAAAATAATTTTAGATGACCTAGGTTGACCTTAAAGGTAGTGTGCCACCTTTGAAAGATTTCCCATTTTATTTTTCCTACGATAAGAAGCTTCTATTTTTACCTAATATCGCAAAAAAAAAATCAAAAACGGGCCTGGAATGGTGCCTTTTTCGCCTAAAAGTTAATCGGTTTTTCGATATGTATAACAACTGTAGTGGGCTGACCTGCAAACAGGCGTCGGCAACAATCGCGAATGCGGCGCACATGTGACAATAAGCAAAGGTCATTATAGAGTTACGACGTACGGGAATGAGTTATCAGCTGTCTAATCGTAGACAACACAATGTCGAGCCTTAAACTGTAAGCCTGTATTGGTATTGTTTCTTTTATTTGGCTGTCGAACATTATTTATGGTTTGAAATATGATTTTATGTAAAATAATTGATATGAAAAAGCCGTCTTATAAATTATGACCCCATTTCACCGCACGCAAGTGGCAGAAATGACAATGATCACCTGACGCATTTTTCTTGGCCGAAGTCAGAGCGCGCGGCCCGACGCACCACCACCGCACCACAAAGTATGAGCAGAAGCCGCGCCCAAAGCCAGGGCCCCGGTAACGTGAGGTAGCCGAGTCGGGGCAGCGTGCGCTGACCCAAGCCGGGGCCGCAGCTTTGGGCGCGGTCTACCGCATCCCCGCGGGCAGCCCCGGGCTATCACATGACACCGGGAGGACGCGCGGCCCCGGCTTGGGTCAGCGCACAGTGCCCCGACTCGGCTACCTCACGTTACCGGGGCCCTGGCTTTGGGCGCGGTCTACCGCACCACCTAACAGGCGTGTTCGAAACCGCAGGAGATGATGATGAACGGGTTTATCGAAACTTGATGGGATGAGCATATCGGTAATAGCGATTTCAGTGTGTGCATTTATTGTTCATAGTGGTGTGAAATGTGGTTGGGGTACGACCGACAACCCGTCGGGGCGAATTTCGCACTGGGGTACTCAAAATTTGAAGAATTTAAGACGTTTCTATGAGTTTTGAAGGTATGGATAAGTTCTAAAAATCCGGTTCTCCTTATCTGGGCCATTAACTCCATACGATCCAGGAAAGCTGGCACACTACCTTTAACCCTGACCCTGACATCTGTACATCGCAGAACAACATGTTCAATGATAGGTGGGAGGTAAGACTGGCAAAAAAAAGCGGAAATCAAGGTGTCAAAAGCTTACAAGGTCCATAGCCAACACTGAACGCAAGATTTTGGGTATTCCTCATTTAGGTAATGACATGACCTGAAGAACAAGGTCATATTTCCAAACCCAAAAGCCACAGAAACTTGAAATTTTAAAAGTGACGCTGAGAAAAGATAGAAAAGCAGCTATCCAAAAATCGGGTTTCTAGCTTTAAAAATGTTCAGTGTAGAGCAGGAAAACTAACTTGGGGGTGGCAACCCCCCCCCCCCCCCAGGTGCGGGCGAGGATTAAGCCTCACACTTTCTGGGGTATAGGTTAGATTCCTTGCGCAATACTGTGCCATTAAATTCCTTTTTTCTATAATAAAGGCATTTTGTTTTATCGTCGAAAGTGAAAAAGCCAGAAATTTTCATTGATTTCGGACGCCACGGGGGATATTTACATACAATGTCACCCTGCTGGCCTGGATCCACCAGTATGGGTCAGGTGAATTACCATTTCTTTATAAATATTGAGAAAAAAAATCATGGCATCCGGGCTGTGACGAAAAATAAGTGGCCTAAATCCGATGATAAAACTGGATTTGGGGGTACCCTAGGTTTGGCTTCTGAGCCTCCGGTCCCCCAGTGAAAATTTCTTAGAGGAGGCCCTGGCGTGGTTCGTAAATTACCGCTTCCGCAATTGGAGGCCCCTAATTGCTTGGAGGCCCCCACTAAATGGAGGCCCCCTTGGACGTTTGGGACCCCAATGGTGATGTCAAAGTTTCACCCATGGTTCAGTTCTAAGCTTAGTGATGTCCTATGTGTCATCGACCCCAGGCAAGTTTGGAGGCGAACAACCAAACTGCATTAGCGAGTTCGAGACTTCAGCAGCGTGATCTTTGACAGAAGTTGCCTTCGAGATGGATAAAAACACGACGACAGGCTTTCCATTTTCGTCTCAAGACGCTTTCTGTTTTTATGAATCCATATAAGAATATAAGGCCCCTGGCAACATCAGTCATCAAATACATATCCCGAGAACGGTGGATGAGACATTACTGTCCTCCATTTGCTTTGACTACGTCCAGTCAGGCGCGGATACAAGGGGGGGGCATGGGGGCCATGGCCCCCCCTTGGCCGATTTTTTTCAAAAATAAAATAAAAAGTTAAAAAGCTGAAAAGGGGGCCTCCTGAAAATAAAGTGGCCGAAATCCGATGAGTTTTTTTTTTAACCTACCCACTTAGTTATTTCTTAGAAGACTAGCTGAGAAGACTTCTTTGTTAGAAGATTGGTAAAGCTTTTCATAACTTGGAGGTCTCTTATACTCACAGAGATGACCACTTTTACAGGGCCTCCTAACCTGCACAGAGGGCCTCCAAGCCTGCACAGATGTTGAGATGTTGCCTGAACAGCTAGATAAGCTCAATAGACGCAGTTTTTTTTTTGGGGGGGGGGGGGGGGCCCAACAAGTGGGAAGATGGGGCCTCCAACAGGTGGGATTATGGGGGGGGGCCTCCTGGTTTCTAATGGCCCCTCCCTTGGAGATTTTCTGGATCCGCCCCTGCGTCCAGTTATCTGTATTCTGTTTCATAATGGGCTTTAGATTAAGCTTAGTTACAGTAATTGATAACATAAGCCAGTGATTTGTTTGTTAGCCTAAGCTGAGTTCGGTTTTCCGTGCCCGCAGAGGACGAAGCATCATACGCTGACGTCTCTCTGCATCATCTCGCATCATCCGTTCTTCTCGTCGTTCCGAGAGTGTCTCTTTCTGCTGCGGAAACTTATCGACGCCTGCAACGAGAACGCCTCGCCGAAGCGGGTCGGCGCCTCGCGCTCCAATAACAGGTGAGTTCCCGGCGCCAACGGCCAATCAGCGAGCGATGCGTGTTTGCCGGAACCAATCAGAGATAAGGAGCCGATAGAGAACACCAATCAGTGCTCGTACGCTGTTTGTTACCAGTTATGTCGCCGCGTTTTGCGTGGTTCTCGTTTTTGTTGATGACAGGAGTCATTTAGGGCTCGAGTATTGCCCTTAGTGGTTCACTAATTGGTCGCACTGGTATTTGAGCGTGCTCGCATATTGATTAAAATCGAGCGGCAGCTGAAAATGGCTTCTTGCGACTTCAGTCCAAAGTTACAGACGTTTGATTCCACAGAGGTGGATCTCTAGTGTATATTCCCGCCTAGCAGATTTGTTCCGAAACGTCAGAGTCGGAATTTGTTCATTGGCGAACTTTTCATGCAATCCCTTTCGGAGTTTTGAGCACATTCAATGGAATTCATCTTAGACTTATTTCGTCGACTCCATCTAGTAGATGCAGGATCATTTCTGATCGTCTTCCAATTATGTTAGCTGTCTGGATGATATAAATTTTCAGGACATCATAGTTGGGAGGACTCTTTAACAGTTACTCTTCTTGGTTATATTCTCAGTGAGTTCCTTGCGCATACGGGCTTGGTAGATATAATGGATGATCAAGCTTTGTGGCTTATCGGCGATGATGATAAGTTCTGCTGCTGGTAGCGTTCTGTTCAAGATAGTTTTGTATATTTTTTGAGCAGCTACTCTATCGTCTTTCAGTTTGTCACATTCAAAGAGCATGTGTTCCAGAGTTTCAATGGCATTACGACACAATGGACAGACAACAGTTTCTTTGTGCCTTCTAACCATGCTTGTGGCCACCAAAGAGTGGCCCGTTAGTAGAACAATTTTGGTTAGTGTCGCTTGTCTGGTAATTGCGCTGTACTTGCTTGCCGGCCAAAATGTTTTCGGCGCCTCGTACTTTTCGGTTTGTGGCAGTAGCGAAAGCCAAAACAAACTTGTCATATTCTCTGCTGTGTTCCTGATGATTTTTGTCATACTTTGATCCACTGATGCAGATGCTAACTTGTTCCATGCTGTCCGCGGTTGGTCTATTTTTTGATTAGCTAGAATAGAGAGGCTTGGTAAGTTCAGATGTTGGAGCAATGTGTCCCATTGGCGCACAAGACTCGTGGTTCGATCAGCATTGACTGCTCCATGGGTGATGATATATCTGGTTAGAGTGTGTTCCTTCGCAGCTCTCAGAAGGAAACCTATGAATTGGAGTGCGGTTCTCATTACGAGGCTTGTGCATGTCGGTGCACCCAACATCACATATGTCACCATTTTTTGCGTTTTGGTTGGTAAACCTTGGATGAGACGGTAAATGCGCATGAGCATTCCTTCCAAGTACATGATATCTGTTGGTGAAAGGGATGTAACTGCTAGGCTGTAAATTAGAACCGGTTCAGCATATATTCTCCACGTTGTATAGTGTGACATCGGGTTGTCCATTTTGAGGTTGATTCCTTTCTTACACTTAGCAAAAAATGTTCTTCTTGCTTTCTTCATGCATTCTTCTATCCTTCTCTTTGCTGGACTTCTGGTTGTCATAATGATTCCTAGGTGGGTGTATTCATCAGTTTGCTCTATTGATTCAGTGCCAAGCGTCCACTGTACCGGAGCTGTCCTGCCAAAGACCATTATTTTGGTTTTTGATACGTTATATCTATAACGCCACAAGCAACTATGGTTGTAAGCGATATCAAGCATTTCTTGGAGTTCGTTTGGGTCTGTGCTTATGAATACTTCATCATCGGCGTAAGCGATAACTGGTACTTGTTTACACCCTATCTTGGCTCCCTTATGTGATTCCAGCAGCATGCGTATCTTGTCTTCCATAAATAGGATCAGCATGCTCGATGATAAGACGCCTCCCTGTTTGAGCCCTTGCTCTATGCGACCATCGGTGGATACAGTTCCTCCAACTTTCACTTTGACATAAAACTCTCGATACAAGTTGCGCAAAATGACGATCAACCTTGGTGGCATGTTGGCGCATATGAGTTTGTAGATTACCCCGTTGTGCCAAATAGAGTTAAAACACTTGCGTACGTCGAGAAATGCAACATAGGTCGTTTTCCCAATGTCTCTATTAGCTGATATGAGTTCTTGGAGAACAAAGTTTGCTTGGAGTGTCCCTCTACTTTTTTGATACGCAAACTGTAGTTCTGAGTAGATACCAGCCTCGACCATCTTTGGGTGAAGTCGTTTCACGATCAGTATCTCAAAAACTTTACAGAGGGTGGTAAGGACAGATATGTCCCTATAGTTATCAGTCTTAGAAGGATCGGTTCCATGTCCTTTAAAGACCGGGGTAACTAATCCAAACTTGAAGTTATCTGGGATTTTGCCAGTATTAATGATTTCTTGCATAATACCTGCTATTGTTGCGTTTGCTATTCCTTTTGCTTCTTTCAAATGTTCTGCAGTTATTTCGTCGAATCCTGGAGCTTTTCTATTCTTTAGATGGTATATAGCTTCATCAATCTCGCTTTCGTCAATCGGGTCCAATTGGTCGAGACTATCAAAATCAGCTTCATATCTATTGCATATGTTTTCTACTGCTGCATCTACTGCCTCTCTCCACTTTTCATTGAAGGCACTGGATTTGATCGGTTTACCTGTGTGGACAAAATGAGTCAAAAAATTATGTGCAATCTCATCAGGTTCTAATATCTCTGTACCATCATCCACGATTCTTGGAATTGATGTGCTTGTTCTATGCTGTCGCATTGCCAAAAAGTATTTATTTGACAAGTTTTTACATTCAAATTCCCTTTCTGTGTCTTCTGCTTGCTTCCTTGTCAATTGATGTGCTCTCTGTGCGTTTATATAGTGTCTTTTGTGTTCTCGAAATATTTGCTCAGCTTTCTTTTTCTCACACTCGGGAGCTGATTTCCACATTGCTTTAGCCTTGAGACATTTTTTTCCTATGCTCTGTGAGTTCATGATTCCACCAGTTACTAGCTTTGTTTTTCTTGCGTTTTTTCGGGAGCACTTGTGATGCTCTATTGAAGGCTTCATCATTCATCATTCGCTCAGAACATCTAAGCATTGACTCTAAACAAGGTAATGGAGCCCTAAAAGCTGTGCCGGCCGTCTGGCGCTGCGCCGGGGGCCGTGGCGGGATTACTGGGCCGTCCGGGCCGGAGCGACCCTCGGAGACCGCGGCGGTTGTCAGGCGGCCGCCGCGCCGGCCATAATCGGGCGGTTTGCCGCTGTAATAACTGAGACCTCCGCCTCTGGCCGGTCGCAAACTCCAGACTGCCGCTCGGCGCTCTGAAAAGGCCCAGAGCGGGCCCATGTCGCCGGAGGGCACATCCGATGGAGAAACTTTACCAAAGCATGCGTGGGATTCCGTCGCTTCGCGATACGCAATATACTCGTAACTTTGTAACTAGCGCTATATGACTATGACTTGATGATTGATAAGCCAGACTGATTGATGGCAATGGAGTCCAATATCAAAGGATAGAGATCGTTTGGCAAATTTTATTTATCACTTGGTCTCCTCCTTTACTTTCAGGAATCAGGACTATCGCAATGGGTGCTAGCGAGTTAGAGAATTAATAGCTATTTTATCTGATGACTTAATCTTGTTGCTGAATTTGCCAGATCTTGCAGCTGACGCGAAACCTAATTTTCTTTCAGACTGGTAATTAATTTTAGCTGGTGTCAGCGGACGGCCTGCGGAAGGTATTTAACTCAACGGTAGACTTCTTATTCAAATTTATTGCAAAATGGTGAACGATTTAATGACGACAATGGAATCGCACATTTATCAAATACGTTGTGTTTTGGCCTAGTCAATGCCTAATGGGATTTCAGAGGAAAACATATTTAATACTGTCTTATTATTGCCTAATTGATGAGTTAAATGCTGTGCTGTCAGCACATCTCAAAATGTCTTACATACCTATTTGCACAGCCTCCGACCTCTTCAGCCCATTCGACCCTGCTGCGGTGACCCGGCTCACCCCGGTGACCGCGACCCCGTCCTGACCTCGCGACCCGGGCGGCTTATCTGTTCCCGGCCGACCGTAAACCACTCTCGCGCCCGGCTCGGTCGGTCGTCGCGACGGTCCCATCAGCCTTGGTGGCCGTTAAATCGCGACCGCCAGCCGAGCCGATGAACGCCGCGCCTCCCCGGTCGCCGAGAGGGCCGTCTATAATCTATGGCTGCGGCCCTGGCGACCCGACCCCGGCGATCAATTAGCCGCAGCGCCGCCAAACTTTCCGGCGCAGGCTTTATCGATATTTTAAAATGGCGCTGTTTTTGGAGAGCTTTATCAAGCCACCGAATGATGCGTTTTCACCAAAGAAGCTTGTGTGGATCGCTATAGCACGCAGTTCAGTGTTCCGTAATAGAAAGCTGCGTGCGTTATAAGAAGACTATTATTTTTTTATTTTTAGCGTCTTTTTTATATTCGATACAGATAACTACTAATCGTTTTTGCGTACTCTCTGAGCGTTCTAGTTTCTAAGTAGGCTGTAGGTGATGATTTTTGATGTCAAAAGATAGCTAAGTCTTGTTACGGTTCTGTCTGCTGATGTGGATGGCTGACCATCAGAACTTTTTTTAATTTTGTTCGACTACCAGCAGATGAATAGCTAATTAGGAGGCAAGGAATTAATTAGAGAGGATACCAATTAGGAACGTCCTTTTGTCGTCGTTCTTTTGGTCGGGATGTGCCAACAGAGCCGAGCTTAGTGTAAGACGCCCTGATGAAGTCATTTGTAGAACCCGCAGATTTCGCCTCGCGCCTACGCTGACGGCCGAGATAATTTCTATATCGTAAAACAGATCCTATGAAAACTCAAATCGGTATGTTCGTTCAATGCCGGTGAACATCGTTTAAAACTTGCTTGCCAAGCTGAACCACAAGCCCAAGCTAAATTAGCGTCTAGGTTTCTCATCAAATGCGTGATGTTATTGAAGAACAATTTTAAACGTTTGACTGAAAAGGAAATACCTATTTTA